GAGGCCACCAGACCACCTCCTTTGGAGTGGGCAAGGGGGGCCTTTGGTCTTGGGGGGAGAGCGCAGGGCTGGGACAAACTCCTCTTGGTTTACAAGGATGGGATTGCCAAAAGGAGCTTGAGTCCACGTTGGCCATGCCTAGCAGAACTGAGGGGAGGCCCCAAGGAGGCCTTCAGTGATATCAGAGGTTTGTTTGTCAATCCTTCTGGCAAATCCAAATTGACACTATTTAGTATAACACGCCAGTCTCCGAGGAGGCTGCTGTACAGATTAGGCCAAGATTTAGCCAAGGCTGTCGATCCTTTCGCCTTTACCTCCCCGACCCACTTTATCAGCTCTGTTCCAGTGCTATAATCAAGGTGGCACCAGTCACAGGCAACTTGCTTTGTCTTTTCTGTCCTTTGGGTCCAGGTCCCTGGCCTGGGGGAGCCTGGGACCTGGGTTCAGGTCAGCAGGACTATTTCTCAGGAGCCCTGGCCTGCCTTTGAATGCTTCTGCTGCTCCGGCAACCTGTCACTCCTCAGCTGCTAAGCAACTTTGCATGGCATTTCAGCTCCTCACTGGTGCTGTGCCAGAGCACAGCAGCTGTCCTGGGCTCCAACTCCATTGGCACCTCCTGCCGAGTGATCTAAGAGCCACGTTCCTTGAGAGACAGGTTATCCAACGGCTGGCAGACGGACCGTCCTGCTTGGCACCAAGGTTACTCCTGCTGGCTTCTGCCTCAGAGAAAAGTGCAGAGGCTACTTGGTGACTTCATAGCCTCTGTTTTATGAGTACACCTTATGTTTATTACATTAATTGATCGCTGAAGGTTTGGCAGCTTTGCACAATTGAACGTGATTAGATTTTAGTTTGACTTTGTTTTGGCAACTGTGTCATACACACTCGCTTGATTTTGTGAAATATGTTTTCTCCCAAGTGGTTAAATGCTGCCTCTCTTCCATCACAGCCCTGTTCAGTCATTGCTGCCTTTAATCTCCAAAGTGGGCGACTTCTGCAGCTTTCATGACACTGATAATTGCCAAGTTCTTCAGTTCTCAAGAGGTTCTTCTATGAATTATCTGCAGCTTTTTCCAGGAACTCATCAAGGCCACTCTTCCCATTTCCCTCCCCTCTTTAACAAGGTCCATTTAAGTCTTTTATTCCGTGCTTCCAATGTTAACTGAAAGAAATTCCCCGTGAATGAGATTTGGACAGTTTTAACCCTATTTTACCAGTGCTGACAGACTGTCAAGAGAGATGTACATTCCACTCTGTAATGCATCTTAAAAGTGCCCCCCCATTCCCCCCCCCCGGGGTTTTCCTAGTTGCTAGATGAGTTGATCAGGCTGCTCGAGCCGGCTGGCTTCCTTTCTTTTCCAGTCGGCCTGGCCTTTTGCAGGATCCACTGCCCCCAAACCTGTGTGCCCCTCCTTTTCTTTCTTCCTGAGAGGTTCAGGGCTGCATCCATGGGAGACGGTTTTCGTCTCCCTGCCCACGTGCCGTGATGAATGCTTGGGTACATGTGTGGGAAAGCAGCTTGGAGGACAGAACAGTCTTGGTTGGATCATCATCTGCTTTCTGTGTTTGTGCTTCCTTGATGGAAGTGCAAGCTTGAGTCACCCTCCGCTTTAGGCTGAAGAACCACAGGCTGCCTCTATTCAGAGGCGCTTTCCTGAGCAGCTGCATCCAGCAGGAGAGCTGGTTTGTTAGGGAAGCAGCCTGGCTCAGCAGATAACCCAGAGGTCGCCCTTCCAGGAATGAGAGCGAAAGGGAGGGAAGGAGATTTTGCTGCCGCCCCTGGCCCTGTGTTGCCCTGATTGTTGGAATCTCTGCAAAAGAAGGGTCACCAAGAGGCAGTGTGAAAAACAGCAGTTGTGCTGCCTGGGAAGGGAGAGAAGGAGGGGGGCGGGGGGCAGGACTAGGAGTGAGAGGAGGTGGGCAAGGGATGCCCACATGCCCAGAGCAGCAACTGCACAGGGAAGGTGTCCGCAGGCCTGGCTGGATCTGTGAGCGCTGGGCAGGACAACAGGAGCTGATTATAATCTTCTCTCTCTCTCTCCCTGCCCTGCCGGTCCTGGCGGCTGCTGCGTTTTTTGTGTTTTCAGCATTCAAGCCAAAGGAACCTAATTCACAGCTCCCAGCAGCGCTTTGATGAGAAGCCGTATGGGGGCTCTCAGGGCCAGAAGGGCCAGGCTGGCTTCCCCGAGAGGCCCTGGACCTTTTCGCAGGGGACTGAACCCAGGCAGAATGGGGGGCTTGCCGTACGAATTGAAAAAGATGTATATATGTATGTACGTATACACACACACACACACACAGACACAAACATACATGCACATACAATGTGTATGTATACATACATACTTCTTCTTCCCATATTTGGGCCGACTGGGTGCATCATAAAAGAAACCACTTAAGATACATACACACATACATACATACATACATACATACATGTATGTAGGGCTTTTTTTGTCATAGAACGCCCAGAACGGAGTTCCGGCATCTTTTTTGGATGGAACCTTGTAGGATAGGCAAGGTTCTCGTTCTCCCTCTCCCTCTCTCCTATATATGTCCATATATAATGCAACCTATAATACCTGGTGCTGTCCAGACCACTACTCAGAACTCCCCATTGCCGTCCGTTGCCACTGTGAGCTTCCTATGCCCTCCTGGACCATTTCCTGGCATGCCAAGATTGGACTGTGGCACAGAAATGGGCATCCTGCCATTTGGCAGAGACCGTCGTTGATTGCCGCTTGCTAAATTTAAATCCCGTGATGTCATACTGTGTGTCTAGATTGAGTTGAGTTTTGCCTGGAGAACTCGGATCAGGAAGAACCCCAACTTCTTTGGCCAGGCTGCTTTGGGTCGCAGTCCCAACAAAGGCACTCAAAGATGGTTAGATTGTTTGTGGTTTTTAGGTGGCTGCCTGGATGTGACCCAAATGTGAGAAGAGCCGGGCAGGGCTCCTTCTCTCGAGGGCTTCCTGGCCCTGGAGCTGGGAGCCCAGGCGAGGGCGCCAGGCGAAGGGAGGGAGGCCGGCCTCTGCGGGAGAGCTCAGGGGGGCATTCTTGCTGTAGAGGTATCAGCAGTGCCACCTGGTGGCTGCCCACGCAAAGACAGGGAACAGATGGCCGGGTCGTGCTGGGCCCCAGAGCTGACTATTCTGGGTGATGTTTGCAGATGCAGCTTTGCAAAGATCGACATGGTGCAAAGAAGCAGACGGGCATTTGAATTAAGCAGCTGGTCAAAAACTTGGAGTCTCACTGTGTGGAAGGAAGGAAGGAAGGAATGGAGCCAGGAGGAGGTAGCAAGAGAGATTCTTCATCGTTGTGCTGCCGGTTTACTGTCTCGGATTGCTGATAAGAGGGTTTATGAACTGGATATCAATCCAGTGGGAAGATTGATAGTGTTATCCCTGTAGTTAGAGTTTCAAAAGGTGTTTAATATTTGGACTGAAGGATTTCCCTTTATTATCTTCTTTTGCTGTTTTGCCAAGAGAGAAGGCAGGGTGTAAATTAGATGGATAGATAATTAAATAAAGTCACGTTAGAGTGATCTTGATTTCCAAAAGCTCTGCATAGAAAGCCTGTAATTTTGGTCAGGATGTCAACTACCCAGTGATTATCTTCTTGGTTTTTTTAAGCACTAGCAAAGCATATTAAGTTATATTGTAGCACACTTCCAGATGAAGCCTTCACGGTGAAAGCATATCTACTCAGTCACAGAGCTTTCTTGGAGGGGCTCCAGACACCGCATCCCCTGTGTGTAAACCTTCCGTGCACCACAGGTTCATGTGCTGAACCTTCCTTGGGTGGTTCCTGACTAAACAAGTTTTTTCCAGCTCTGCTCTTCCTTCTCCAGTGAGCAGAGCTGTCCTCTTGTGTTTCTGGAGCAGCAAGGAAAGGATCCCTCTTCCCCTGAAAAGGGCTATGTAATCATGAAAGCCCTGAGCAGGGAGGCAAGAGAGATTATGCACTATTCTGGGACAGTTGCTGCAAGGGGCTTAAGTAGGAAGAAAGAGCTGATGGTAAACTATTTTGCTGGCTGAACAGCAAAACAGACAGTTCCTGTCCTTCTTGCTCCCAGCATTTGCACCAGGAAAGTGGCACAGATTTGGGCTTTGTGTGGAATTGCAATCTCCATGGTGACAGATACCCAGGCAGGAAAGTAGGTGGCTTCAAACACTGGAGCAAATGTCTCAGCAAGAATCTGCTGGCATGGAGTGGGACAGACCCCGTGGAAAACAGTAGAGAAAGCAGCAACAGTGAGGGGAACAGCCAGCAGCCTGATTAATAGTGATTCCTCTCCTGGGCTTCCGGCCTCTGTTCCCACAGCTGCCTGCAGAGTTGTTGCTGGGCTGGGCAAGGAGGTGGGCTGAAGAATTGGGATTTGTAAGAGATACGGGTGGTCTTTGAGAGTTTATTTTACTATTTTTATGTTACGTTGGATCTCAGCTTTCCTTTGGGAGCTCTGGTCAATGCACCTTGTATTTACCCTCCCCATTTCCCCCCTGAAAACAACCTTGTGAGGTAGGCTGGGCTGAGAGAAGAAAAGGGAGCATTTGGCAACCCATATTCTGCAAGTGGTGCTCAGAGATCTTCTGAGCACAAAACTGATAATCAGGGGAATAAGAGCCCACCCTTTGAAGGGGAAGCAAGGCTGAAGGCTTGTTTGTTGACAACAGAGACAAGACAGAGGCACAAGGGCTGGAACTTTGCATGATGATGCATGAAATTTGCATGATCTTCCTCAAAATAGTAAATTCATGGAAAACTACCATTCAGAGCACAGTTTATAGAAAGTCACTGGCATCTCGGTCATACATATTAGGGTTTTTGGGCCAACCTTGGCACGTTGTTCAGAATTAGAAATCAATCATTCACTTCCATAGACCAATCATTTTTCTTGCTGTCAGAATGAATCAAACGGCAAGAAGCAGTAATTCTCCTCTCCCACTTTTCCTATTCTCAGATTGGGTTTCATAATGACTGCTCTCATTTTTGCCCTTTCAGGTCGCAATAAAGATCATTGATAAGACTCAGCTGGATGAAGAGAACCTCAAGAAGATTTTTCGAGAGGTCCAAGTGATGAAGATGCTGTGCCACCCTCACATCATCCGATTGTATCAGGTCTGGCGACTGAGTAACTGAGACGGGGACAGGCAGCATGTTGGTAAACACTGTGGGTGGGGGCAGGAGGTGCCTCCAGCCGTTGGGCTCCCTTCAATCCAAAGGGAACCACTGGGGCGGGGGGAGGGGGGGCTCTTGGAATCTACAAGACTTCCTGGGCCTTTGGGCCCCCACCATCAGTAGGCCTCTTGCTGGTTCAGATGAATATAATGATTTCGGAGTGAAACAGTTTTGGTGGGGCGTAAAAGATAACTGTAAACCTTCGGTCTGTGGACCCTTTGGTGCCTCGACCACGGGGAATCCTGTGGATCCCCCCCCCCAAAAGAAGCCCAGTTGGCGGAGGGTGTTTTGCCTTGAGCCTGTCCATATTAGCAGCTGCTTTGTCCTTGTGCAGGTCATGGAAACGGAGCGAATGATCTACCTGGTAACCGAGTATGCAAGTGGAGGGGAGATATTTGGTAAGTTTGTTGTTTGCCTTATTCGACCGAATAATATACTTGATCAACTCTGATAAATAAAATAGCTGGCCCTTTTGCTGACCTTTTGGCTGATGCTCTGTGGTGTTGGAAATTTCCACTGTTGCATCATTGCTGTGGAAGAAAGATTAGTGAGCTCTGGTGCATTTGGATAAAAGAAAAGGAAGCAGGATAATTCTGAGGGGGCTCGTCACAACAAAGGACTCAAAACGTGAAGACTTGGGAAAGTGAGAGCAGGTACAGGATGTTGACCTTTGGTGCAGGTCAGCTGCCAAAGTAGCTAGAATTTCCCCTGGGCAACCCAAGCAGACCCACCGGGCTGTCCTGCTGAGTTTCCCAGAGCACTACAAATCATCTGGCAAGCCAGGTTAGATGCAGAAATAGAGCCATCCAGGCCCGTTCCTTTCTTGGGCAGATTTATTTTTAATAGGGCGCGGTTGCAGTGGCTACGGAAGAGCCAAGGGGACTGCAGACCATAAAAAGAGACTCCACCCTGGACCCTGACCACCCAAAGGGCCCTCCTTTTCTTGGGCCAGGGTTGTGCTTGGCCTTCGTGTGTTACTGCACTGGATTCCAAACAGCAAGCAGGGCCAGGGCAAAAACCAAATTAAAGTTTAAATATTAAAATATATTATAATCAAACCCATTTGCTGTGGTTACTCCCTGTGTATTTTAACACTCTCATCTGGGATCACATTAAATCCCATTTTGGCAGCAGCCTCTTGGGAGGGGCTCTGCAGCTGTGTGGAGGCTTTTGAGAGCCGAAAGCCACGGCCCTCTTTGCGGGGCAAGTTGCCAAGATGAAGAGCCCAGGAAAGCCCAGGCATCTCAGTGGCTGGGGCATCCTCTTCCTGCTGCCAGCCCCAGGGCCTAGCTGGCTCCCACAGGTCCAGGAAAGCCAGAGCTGCCGTTCTCTTCCTGGCTGTGTCTGCAGGCTGCTCTCCCTGGTTCTGTGGGACCCTCCCAGCCCCCCTTCTTCCCACCCCTCTAATGTGGAGGATGCCCTTCCTCACCTGCCATGCTTTGCCCAGCTCTCCTTCCCCTTAGGCAGGCAGACTGAATGTGCTCTGCCATTCCAAAGAAGTTCTGATTATGCTAGGAACAAGCATCAGAGTGGGTGGGGAGCTGTTTGAGTGGTTAGGTAGGGTTAGGGCCCCAGACTGCGGGTGACCTAGGATACGTCTCCCACGTATCTCCCACAATCTCCTTCACTCTGTGCAAGGCAGGGCTTGCATCACAATGGCAGCTTTTGCTGACCCATGGCACACTAAATGGAGCAGCTTGGGTGCTCTTGTTTCTCCTGGGGGGGGGGAGATCTAAAATTACACCCATGCCTTGTGAGGCCATCCTTCTTGGGTAGAAAGGTTTCTTTTCGGCACTCCCTCTTCTCCCCAAAAGCCTCGGCAAGGCCGAACCTGGTCATGCTGAGGAGCCTCTGAAGCCGTCAGGTTAGACAGAGGCAGCTCCAGTGCCTGAAGGGCCAGTAGGCAGCCTTGGGGCTGGGCGAAGAGCATCCGGTGGGGGACATTTCTCCTTTGCTGCAACTCTGTCTCGCTCTTTCCCTTGACTGCGCTGCAGGTGATTTGGGAGGAACTGTACCGAACTTCAAGAGAGCCGTTTGCCCCGCCAGCAGTTTTGGCTGGCAGTTACACAGAGTCTCCTTCCACAGGTGGCCTAATAAATTTCCTCGTAGGTCACTTCCTTACACCTCCCCTCATTCACCCAGAATAGACGTCTAACCAGCTTCGTTCCTCCCGGTCTCGTTCAGATCATCTGGTGGCTCACGGACGAATGGCTGAAAAAGAGGCTCGGAAGAAGTTTAAGCAGATAGTAGCAGCGGTGCACTTCTGTCACTGTCACAATATTGTCCACAGAGACCTGAAGGCTGAGAATTTGCTTCTGGATGCAAATCTGAACATCAAAATAGCAGGTGATCCATTGTAATTTGGACTTTCAAAAGGTTTCTTGGCAAAACAGGTGGATTGGGAGGCAAAGAAAGTTCAAAAAGGGAGAATGAGTTAAGGAACAGTCCTTGCAATAGAGACAGCAAAGTGGGATTTGGGGGGAATGGCTGCATTTCCTGACAGCATATAATTATTTAACCTGGTTGAAGCAGGAAGAGAAGTGAAGAGATCTAAAAGGATCTCCAGACTCAGTCAGTGATATTACACTGGCAAATTCAATTCAGCATACACCAGGTGAAAGTCACCTTGGAGCAATGGGCAGGGACCTTGAGGGTTGTGGTGGAGAGTTGTGTGGAAACCTGTGGACACACAAGTATGGCATTTCTTGCCAGACAACGGCTCTGCCTGCTGCTCTCCCCGGCTTCCCCTGGGCGTCAGCCTACTCTTGGGCAGGACATTAGGAAATAGACAGTTTGGTGGGAAATCACAGGCCCTTCTTCTCTTCCAGATTTTGGATTCAGTAATACCTTCACTCCTGGCCAGCTATTGAAGACCTGGTGCGGAAGCCCCCCTTATGCCGCCCCTGAGCTTTTTGAAGGGAAGGAGTACGATGGGCCGAAAGTGGACATCTGGGCAAGTGGCCAAGACCTTCTCTTCTCCCTTGGGAGTGACCCAAAAGGCATCATTCTGTTCAATAAGCCAACATTCAAAGCTGGAATCTTTGCTTTGGCCTTTTTAGGGATGACCTCCACTGGCCATCTGCGAGGCCTCCCTCCACACTGCCCTACAAAGGAGTCTCAACGCCCTCTTCTTTTGCAGAGCCTTGGGGTGGTGCTCTATGTCCTGGTGTGCGGGGCCCTGCCCTTCGACGGGAGCACGCTGCAGAACCTGCGCGCGAGGGTGCTGAGTGGGAAGTTTCGCATCCCGTTCTTCATGTCAACAGGTACGGAGCCTGGAGAGCGGTCGGGCCCCACCTGGCAGTGTGTTTGGAGGGTGGTGCCTGCAGACGAGCCCTGGAGGAACCAGGTTCTGTTTCCTTGTGTCCATTGGGTAAAGCTGCAGGGCCCTAAAAAGCTTGCGCCCCAAAATAGGTATCGCCTCACACTCCCTACCCATTATTTGAAACGTGGAGCTGCCCCTTTGCTTGCAGAATGAAGCAGCTGCCTTGCTTTCCTCCCAGGACTGGGCACAGTTAGACTTAGAAGCGGGTATAATTTGTGGAAATTTAGAGTCATCCAAATAGCCCATTTTGCTGTAGAAACAGCTGTTGCTGTTGCTTTTTGTGCATGGCTATTCTTTGGTCTCTTCTGCTTCAGTGGGAAAGTCAAGCGGTGGTTGAGGCCAGTTCATGTTTCCCAGCTGCTGCTTGCATTGAGGACCCCCGCCTGCCCCAGAGTCTTCCCCCACTCTACTCCCCCGATGGGAGAGAGGGAGGAGGCCGTGATTAGTTTTTCTGATGCTTTTTAGTTTTGCAGGAAGTCAGACACCAGGAAAGGACTGACCTGGGGAAATGTTAAAGCAAATTATTTTGATACAAGCCTGAAAAGCGTCTGTGAGACTTCCCTGCCTCCCCAACCCCCAATATGAAAGGGAATCTAGGCTTCCCTGCCAGTCCCTGGCCTTTCCTCTTCCTGTGAGTAGGAAGCCATTATCTAACATTCAGTGGGAGGAATTTAGTTCTGCCTACTGCAGAACTATGTTAAAATGATTTCCTGTGGTCTGATTAATTAGAACTTGTATGTCTTAATGCCTGATAAAGTAATTAATGCAAAGCAGTAGCTTCTGCTGTGCAAGGGAGGGGCAGCCTTAGGTAGGCCCAGGATCAGGCCAGGGAATGTTCCAGCAGGGCTCAGCTTTGGGACAGTGGTGGTTTCACCTACAAGTAGCCTTCAGCACAGAGGCCCTGAGCAGGCATGTTTTTTCTGTTGTTCACCTGATTCCTGCCAGGAATGAGACTGTATAACTGGTGGGCCAATTGCTCTTGGTCTTCTGGTTTCCAACTCTGGAGCCTTCCTGCTTTGGCCTGTTGTTTACATGAACATCAGTGATTTGATAGAGGCAGAAGTAAGTCTTCCTTCCATAGAAAAATGGTGGTACCAGTCTAGAACTTTGTGGAATGTTTTGTCACTCCCCTTTTCATGGAATTTTTGTGGGAAAAATGCAGGCAAAGTATTTGGGAAAACACAGGATGGATGGAAGGTCAACCTCCCGTACATTCTGTGACACGAAGGAGAGAAAGTGGAAGATGGCCCACTGGACTAAGGTTCCTTCTATGCTGGTTCAATATCTGTCCTTCATAGGTTCTCGAAGAGAGAAATGGAGGAACAAATGTAGGACTATTGTTAGTTGTGGGCAGTGGGCTGTTTTAAAAGGGCTCTGCTTCCTGGATGGTTCTCACTGCAAGGTATTGAACCCCTTTCCTGGGCCTGCAACACCGCCGTTTGGCCTTTGGGTTCTGGTGGAGGAGGGACTCGGGGTCACCTCCCCTTTGCAGTAGGAGAGCCAGGTGTGGACCAGTTCACATTCTTAGATCACATCAGGCCACAGGGCAAAGGGCAAAGGAGGAACTCTTTGGGGATGCAGGAACAGACTGTTGCAGGTGGCCTTTGGTGACATTCCAATGCCTTATCCTGGCTGCTGTCTTGCAGAGTGTGAACATTTGATCCGCCACATGCTGGTGCTGGAGCCGAGCAAACGGCTCTCCATGGAGCAGATCTGCAAGCACAAGTGGATGAAGCTTGGGGAAGTAGACCCCGAGTTCAGTACAGTGAGTAAATTCGTTTTACTGACTTTCATAAGAAGCTCATGTATAAAAGCAGGGTAGGTTGGGAGACGCATTGGGCGGACCAGGTCACCATAAAGGGAAATTGTTAAAGGTAGGGCCAGCCCTAGAGCAGATGCACATCTATAGCCTCTCCACAAGGGAAGGGAGGGGGAGGGGAGGGGAGGGGCTTGTTCCTGCCAATGGGGTCCCTGGGGCTGATTCCCTGCCAGCCTTGCTTTCTCATTTCTCAGCTTTATGCTGTGTCTTTTTTGGGCTGGGAAACTTCCCGCAAAAAAAAAGGGGGGGGGGAATGATGTCCTGCTCAGCCAGCTCATAGGCAGCAACCACCCTCCCTTTGCGCATTTGTGCTTTTTCTTGTTGTGGGAACAAGCAGCCTTGAAAAAGTTCTCTGCTTTCTAGTTAATAGCAGAATGTCAGCATCTGAAAGCCGAGAGGCAGCTGGAGCCCCTGAATGAGGAGGTGCTACTGGCCATGGCTGAGATGGGGCTGGATAAGGAACGCACCCTCCAGGTACCAAGGCCACTGGCCCTTTGAGGACTCTGGTGGGCGTGCTCAGGGGGCAGGGAAGAGTGACGCGTGGCTTTTGTGACCTCCTAGTCATTGAGGACAGAGGCCTACGACCACTACAGTGCAATCTATAGCCTTCTCTGTGATCGCCAGAAGAGGCATAAACCTCTGCGTACTTCTGCCCTGCCCAGCCTCCCACGGACTCTGACCTTTCCAGCCAGTCTCCAGGTCAGTCTTGGGGGAGAGGCGGCTCTGCTGCTGGGCAGCCTGCAAGCATAAAGCCCCAGAGAGGCCCCCTCATCCCCTGCCTCACAGCACTTTGGGGGCTTTCACCCGGAAGTTTCTGGTGACCTGGGAATGGCTCGCATGGTCTGGCTTGGCATGTATGTGGAGGGATAAGACAGCCGTCCCTGTGTTCGTTGGGGTATCCTTTCTGCCCTCTGACTGCCAAGATCTGGGGTGGGCCGTGCTCCTGTGTGGCTCAGCCAAGTGAAGGACTTGACTGTGGCAGAGAGGATGCAGGCCTCCCTGTGGGAATTCCTTTTCTCCCTGGCTGGAATGGCTCATGGGACAGAAACAACTGCTCCCCCTGCCCTTCTTCCCAAAAGAGGCAGCCCTCCCAGAGAAAGGGAGAGGAAATGTTGCCTGTCTCTGTGTGTCTCATCTGAAAGTCGGAGATGGGCTAAATTCTCTTCTGGGAATACTGCTATCCAGAGCAGCTCTTAGAAGTTTGTTTTCTGGATTGTGTCCAACTCACTCTAACATAGTCTCCTTCTCTCCCCCCCCCCCGCGAGCAAGGCAACTATTGCGCTGGTGGAAGACCTGGTTGGGGGGGGGGGAACCTGGGCCAAGGCAGCTCTTGGTGGCAGAGTAAGAGGGGTGGGCATTCAGCATTTGGGGGTGGGTCTGTTTTACAGGCAGAACCTGCTGGCAACCCAGTGAGCCTCAGCGTCCCACAAGTGCAGCTGATCAACCCAGACAACCAGATAGTCGAGGTAAGGGACTTTCCACCCAGGGCTTTTTCTTGGAGTCTCTCCTTTCTCTTCCAGAGGCTCGTGCATTCCTCCTTCTGGGGTCTTTCTCTTATAGACGGATGGCACCATGAACTTGGACAGCGATGAAGGAGAAGAGCCGTCTCCTGAAGCTCTGGTCCGTTACCTCTCCATGCGAAGACACACCGTTGGCGTGGCTGATCCTCGGTGAGCTTTGCTGACCCTCCCCCTGCTTTGTTCCTCTCTGAGTAACACTTGGGTCTATTAGTGCGATTGCTTCTCAGCCCCTTCCCGTCCGTTTGGCCAAGAAATCATGGAACCCAAAGGCAGGTGTGCCGGGGTCTCTGGCTTCTGATATCCAAGCTCTTATTTCTGTGTTGGCAGTACTGAGGTGATGGAAGATCTCCAGAATCTGCTCCCAGGCTTCACGCGAATCGCCCCACAGGCCCCGTTCCTGCAGGTGGCCCCAAATGTGAACATGGCAGCCAACGTGCTTCCCAGGCAGCACCTGCAGCCGACCGGCCAGTTGGAGTACAAGGTACTCTTCCCCTTTCTTTGCCGGCCTCAGCCCGGCAGCTGCAGAAGGCTGCTGAAGATGGGGCACAGAGAGCCTCCTGCCTTTGGGCACGCAGAGGGCAGCCATAAGAGAAAGCTTTGTTGCAGGAGCAGTCTTTGCTGCAGCCGCCCACACTGCAGCTGCTGAACGGGATGGGACCACTGGGGCGCAGGGCCTCCGACGGGGGAGCCAACATCCAGCTGCACGCGCAGCAGCTCCTGAAGCGTCCCCGGGGCCCGTCTCCCCTCGTAACCATGACCCCTGTAAGCCCCCATTTTCTTATGGACACCTCTCCATAAGGGGCTCCTTGGCTGTGCTTGCTTGGGTCGGGTGACAGAGACCCCCATGTCTGAATTGGCTTTCCACGTTGCAAGGGGGGGGCATTGTTTCCTCCTCCCTGCTCATCCGAGTCTGGGTCTGGGTCCTGGGGAGGGCTGGTTAGCCTTGGCGTTGCCACCTTGCTTCCTGAGCCCTTGGCAATGAAGCTCCCTTGTGGGCTGCGTGTTCTGCCTTGCCCTTCTTCAGGGCCCTCCTTCTCCCCCTTGGAAGGGGACCATTGGGGAAGCTTTTGGCCAAGCACAGCCAGTGACCTTGTCTCCCTTCAGGCAGTGCCTGCTGTAACCCCCGTGGATGAGGAGAGCTCGGACGGGGAGCCAGATCAGGAAGCCGTGCAGAGGTAACTCTCGCACCTGCCTCCCGGGAGCTTCCGCTTGCTTTTGCTTCCCTGGGAGCCGAGGGTTCTGCTGCTTGGACCTGCCCTCCTCTCTCTCACTAACCTCTTTGCACTGACCGGAAGGGAGGGGCGGCCGTCTGTAAGTATGACGTTCCAGGGCAGGCACCCAGCATTTGCCCTGCTGGTGCCCAGCGGCTTTCTTTCCTATAGCCAAAGTGGTTTGTCTTTCCTTCCAACACCCGTCTCGTAGCTTCTGCGCTGGGAAAGACCGACAGTGGTCTTGACTGCTGATTCCCAGAGGGCGGCGTATTAGGCTGTTGTGGTAGAAACAAGAGTCACCGATTGAGATGAGCAGTTATAGAAATCAGATGAATGGATAATAACTGCCCCAGAGGCCTTGCAGCATTTTAAAGGCACACTAGCATTTTAGAGCACAAGTATCTGATGAAATGGGTTACGGCCCCCACCGTCTTTGGTAAGTTCTGAAGGTGCCACAAAATTCAGTATCGCTTTGGATTGCAGCTCTTTGTCTTCTGCTGATCCCCTCTTGCAATCACAGCGGTCAGGCACCCAGTGGGCCTGGCTCCCAGGCAGCTTGGCAGATGCTCCTTTGGAAGTGAGGCTACTCTTTTCCCGTGGGAGCAGGGAACGGGAAGGGAAAGCCGTGATGTCATCAGAGCACGAAGGCACTCTTAAGACAGCCGTCTGCACCAGAGTCTGCCTGGAGAGCAGGGGAGAGGCAGGTCCTCTCTGTGAGGTTGCTTTGACTGCCTGACCTCAGAGTGGGACCAGAGCAAATTGAAGCTTTGGCCCAGGTGAGCGGATCCTGCCTGGGAACTCTAGCAGAAAAGGAACTTGCTCACTTCTCACTTTTTAAGAAGGAAGGCAACTTGGAGGCCAATGCTTTCATAGAATCGACACTGGTGGGTTTCCCCCCTCCCCTTTGTAGAGATCCTCTCAGATTTGTTTTTAAAGTCTCCCGTGAGAACTTGCAAGATCTAGTCAATTTTTAAATAAGAAATGAGAATTTTTGATGGTTCCTGTGACATCACGGAAAGCACCTGCTGGCTGAACATGTTGGTGACCCCTGTCCTGAATGATCTTGCATTCTTCTCCGTGCTCTGCCCTGAGCAGTAGGCCTTCCTTCCCTCACTCAGCCAGAGGTTGAGCCATCTGGTGCATGAGCTGAATCCCTCCGGTCTCCGTTCTGGACTGCGAGGGCAAAGCTGTCCAGCTTCTTCTTGTCAGTGATCATCCCAGGCTAGGTGGCAGCTCTATAGAGGGAGACCTGGCCTTTGTCCTTCCTCTCCACCTGAACCTGTGTTAGAGAGGCAGCTTAGGGTGGGCTCTCCTGTTGGGCAAGGCGGCTCCCCAGTGGCTAAAGATAGTTACTCAGAGCAAATAGCGGGTCAGAAAATGGGGCAGGGCTGGCTTGCACAGTGGCCATTCTTCTGCTTCTTCCTGGATCATCTGGATGGCTTGGTCATGTGGATGAGGGAAGCTTTGTGGTTGCGCTCCTTGTAGTTGCCTTGCTCTAAGTGCCCTTCCTCTGTCTATAAGTAGCCTTTGATGCCTCCTCTTCCTGCCCTCCTCCCAGTTATCAGTGAGTGGTGAAAACTGGTCTAGGCAGGCAGGCAAGTAAGCAGGCACTTCCAAGCCTTCCCCTCTCTGGGGCAGGTTCCTGTATTTCTTACGGGTCATAGGTTGGCATCCTGGTTAGCTCTTCTGAAGCCTGGCCGTTGCTAGCCAGCAGCTTCCTTTCAGCCTGGCTTACTGCAGCCTTGGGTGTGGGCCTGGTGCTCCAAGGCTGTGTGGCAGCAGCCCCACTTGGAAGGAAAGGGCTCCAGCTTTTGATTTGTTCCTTCCAACTCTGCACTGGACGGGCTGCCTTGACAGCGTCCCTCTCAGGCTGAAAGGCCTCTCTGACCTCTTATGCCCCATCAGTCCTTGAACTCTGCCGATGGGAGCCACATTAGAGCGGTTCTCCTGCTAGGCTTGCCCTTCCTTGGGGGCCCCAGCATGGGTGCTGAGGTAGCCCTCCTTCCTCCTGGGTAAGCCTGCTCGCAACTCCACCTGCTTGGCTTAATTCTCTGGCCCTTCTGCTTTCTCCAGAGTGGGACTGTGCCAGTAATGGCTGGCCTTCTTGCTCTCTCTCTGCCTCTCTGTGCCCCCCCCCTGCAAGGCTCTAGAGAGGTGGGCAAGAGGCTGCCCCCCCCCTTTTGCTGCTGCTGCTGCTGTCGCTGCTGCTGCTGCCGCTCTGTCTTCAGAAGGTCCTGGGTGCTGCCTTTTATCCAGAGGGGCTTCTGCTCATCTCCTCTGCTCCTGCTCGTTGCAGATACTTGGCCAATAGGTCAAAAAGGCACACCTTGGCCATGACCAACCCCACTGCGGAAATCCCGCCCGACTTGCAGAGGCAGCTCGGACAGCAGCCCTTCCGCTCCCGGGCCTCACACCTGGCACCTGACCAGCACCGGTGAGTAGCGGCACTGGACGCTTGGGAAGCTGCCCCTCAGAGGAGGGCAGAAGTTCTTGCAGTTTGCCCGGGTGCCTGTGGCTCTCAACTTGTCGATCGCCCCCTCAGGCTCGCTGCCCCCTTGGGCCTCGGGGATGGCTGTCAGTGCTGGGTCTCTCCATATAGCAGAAGTTGGGGCTTTGTTAGCCCCCTGGAAGGCAGCTTGGTGGGCAGCTGGCTAACTGGGTGGCCACCTGCTAGTTCTCCCTGACATGGTGGATCCAGGGTGGAGCTGGAAAACGGCAGCATCAGCAACAGCAGCATCAGCAACTTTCTAGAGTTGGATTTGTGAGCAGGACAGAGGACGTGGCCAGAGCATCCAGTCTCCTCTGTTTGTACTGATACAGGGGCCGCCTCTTGATAACCATCCTCAGAGAACAACCTCTGAACCTTGTTCATGTCAACAGCCGGGCCAGGGGATTTGCACTGGAGTGGCCTGTTAACCTGCAGTCCTTCCAGGCTAAAATTCCAATGGGGGGCGGAGAGTAGAGGGGGCAGATGTAGCAGCTGACCGTTGATCATTGGGAAATGACTTCTCAGCCTGGGACATGTTACCAGGGACGGTGCAAAACTCCTTTCTCTGCCTGGGAAGACCAGCAGGAGGGGCTCTGCTCCCTCTCTCCCACTTGTCGTAGTTTGCCCCCACCGAGCCCCCCCCCATCCTGCGTTGTCTGCAGGGGAGCTGGAGGTCTCGTGGGCAGAGCATGACGTCACCAGAGGAGCAACTGGACTCTGAGCCAGCTGGGGCCACAGGGCTGCCACGCTGGAAGCGGAGCAAAAGGGCAGAGATAAGAGTCCGCCCCTTCTGTGACTCAGCTAGGCTGCTCTGGGCCAAGCATCCTCCCTCCCTCTGCATCGCTAGGCCACAGACGACCAGGAAGGAGCATCTGGGCTCCCGGGGCTTCCTGGAAGCCTTTCAGCTCTGTCCCCCCTCCCCCAAGAGACACAGCCTTTGAATTGCTGCAGGGCAGGAGTGTGGCTTGGGGGAGAGGCAGGCATTCTGGGGAGTAGCTGCATGGCGGTTTTGGCACGCAGGGCTCCCAGGCACTTGCAGAGATGGCCCAGTGACTTGAAATCTGCCATTGTGAGCTGGGTGGGGCAGCCAGCCAGGCTCCCGAGGAAGTGAGGAGCTCTCGCCCGTGCCTCCCAGAAGTCCCTTGCCAGGCAGCTCTGCTGGCAGCTGAGGCCACTCAGCCGCTCTGACTTCAAGGATTTGACAGGAAGGGGAGACGCTCCCTGAACCTAGTGGAGAACCTGGTTGGGGTTTGCCTCTACTGGGCTGTCCCTGGCCTCTCTTCTTTCTCCCTTCTCCTCAGTCCGTGAAAAAAAGGAGATAATTTCGCTGACTTTATTCATTTGTTTAAAGATTTCTACGATAGCTTTCCATACCGTGCATGTCGCTGAGATTCATACAGCATTTAAAGTAGGCAAAGGCAAGGGTGCTTAGAAGACAAGAAGCCCAAAGCCAACGCTTAGACGCTATTCCAGAAGAGTCATGAGAGGGCCTCTCCTGCGGTTCACAGGCCACTGGAGGAAATCCCTTCCTGAAGAGGGAGGTTTAGGCCACTGGACTTGTGCCCGAGAAAGGAACTGGTAACCAGGACAGTGTTGGCAGGACCAGAGTAACTTGGCCATGCCCATGTTTCCAAGGTAGCCCCAGGCCAAGTGCATGTCAAGCACTCACTTGGTTGGAAAGAGAGGCGTGGGCCACCGTGGCCAGGGCTGGGTTAGCATGCCAGCTTAAGCTGGGCAAAGGTGCAAAGCTGAGTCCTCCCTAAGGCTAGCCCGATTCCTGGGGGTGGGAGGGGGTTAGGGTTAGATTGGCTCTCTGGGGCTGAATACAAGTCCTGCAGGAAGAGCGGGATGCCCAAAGTGTTGTGCCAGGTTTTGCTGACGTACGCCTAACAGGTCCTTCAGCACCAACCGGGATACATTCATCTGAAGCCCGAATCCTGATGGAGATACCTCTGGATAGTTTGTTCTTGGAGCTGATGTGCCTTAGGGGTCATCTCCCCCACTTGGCCTGAGCACTTTGCAATATCCTAGAGATGATCAGGAAACAACTCCTTTCTGCTCCTCTGGTAGTTAAGATGGGCGTTAATCAGTTGCAGCCCTTTTGGGCTCTTATAGCAAAGGGAAGCACATGCTGCAAATGCTTTTTTCCTGTCTTGGAAAGATGGCATCAGGTGCAGGGGGTGTAGTGACCCTCCAGCTCCTCTGCTGCTGCTCCCTTCGTGTTCTTGGGGGGTCAGGTGGTGGCCAGACAGGCCCTGAAGCCAGAGACCCCCGGACGTGGCGTTGGAGCCCGGAGCAGATGGGAGGAGTTCCTCACTTCCATTAGTTGCTCTGACTAATAAGAGACAAATTGGGTAGGTTTGGCAGGCAGCCAGTGATCAGATTCTTCTGTCTCAAGTGGTTCCTGTTCTGTTAGGGTGAGTGGAGGGGGGAGGCTGGCCTTTGGGGAAATGGCCCTGGGGTCCAGCTGCTCCTCCTAGCCTGCTCCTCTCCTCCGTGTGTGTCTCCAGCTATGTCTACAAGGACTCGAACACGCTGCACCTCCCCACAGAGCGCTTCTCCCCAGTGCGCCGTTTCTCAGACGGGGCAGCCAGTATCCAGGCCTTCAAGGCGCAGCTGGAGAGGATGGGCAACCACAGCAGCATCAAGCAGCTCCAGCAGGTACAGGGCTGAGTTTGGGAGAAGCCAGCCGGGCCTCTCTGCCAGTGCGAAGCCAAGTTGGATGGTCTCATAGGCAGCTGACCTGCAGGGTTCCTTTTGAAGCCCAGAGGGTTGCCCTTTTTCTCACTGTTCGGCCCAGAACTTCTTGTAGTGCTCGGAGCCCTTGTTTTGGGAAATCTCTTCTTTTTCCCTGAAGAGTTGCCAGTTTTCAGTTCAGGGTCCGCTACTGCGCATGATTATGTGGTGAGATGGTCGCTGGACCTCTCTGGCTACCAAGGGAGCTGCTGGAGGCTTCAGTGGGCTCCCAGCTCTGGCGGGCAGCTCCGAGGGTGCTTGCAAGGAGGATGGGGAGCGAGTGTGACAGGGATGCCCAGTTGAGGTGAGGCTCTTGGCAGCCCAAGAAGCCTTTCAGCCTCTCAGGTCTTCCTCTCCGGGCAGAGTGGGGCCAGCAGTGGGCAACTTCTTTTGAAGAGGGAGCTGCTTCCGGGCCTGCCGTTCTGCGCAGTGCTGAGGCAGCTGCCATCACCCGAGGCCAGGCCTGCTGCAGCCCCCTCCTTGCTGGCTCTCTGCAGCCAGGCAGGGCTGAGCCTCACCAGGAGGTTATTTCAGGAGTGTGAGCAGCTCCAGAAGATGTACGGGGGGCACATGGACGAGAGGATTCTAGAGAAGACACAGCAGCAGCATATCTTGTACCAGCAGGAGCAGCACCACCAGATCCTTCAGCAGCAGATCCAGGTAGGGGGGCGTTGAGAAGGGCAGCACTTTAGATTGGGGGGGGGGCTGGAATCTCCTTCTGCCCACTCTTTGGGCTTCTGCAGAGCTTTGCTGCTTTGCAGGTATCCAGAGTGACTGCTGAATCCCAGGGCAGTTCAGCAGCCCAGCTCTGATGCAGAGGCGGCTCTTCTTTTGCCCATTGCTCAAGGTGGGGGGGAGTCAGTGGGGGGGGAACATGCTCACCGCATTTCTCTATGTTCTTCCTCTTCCTCTCCCTTGCACAGGATTGCATCCGTCCGCCACAACCTTCCCCACCCTTGCAGGCAGCAAGTGAAAACCAGCCTGCTCTGCTCACTCACCAGCTCCAGAGGTGAGCAAAGCCTCCACCCTGCCTGCCTTCTGGGAGCCCCAGGAGGTCTAAAGCAGGGCTTTTCAACCTTTTCACCCATTGTACCACTTTTAGGATATGGCAACATCCGAGTACCACCAGTCGCCTAGCAAGGTGTCAAAAATTTGATGACCAAAAAAAAAAGGAAAAAAGTGATAAAGTACAGGTAGTCCTCGACTTACAACAGTTCGCTTAGTGACTGTTCGAAGTTACAATGGCACTGAAAAAAGTGCCCCCCAAGCCACAGCCGAGCAAGACAGGGCCCGGCGACGCTCTTCCTCCTGTCCGAGGTTTTCATTGTTGTGAGCATTTCTGTTGAGGATTGGCAACGGGGGTGGGGTGGGGGGTGTTTGGTTTTTATTCTCCCCGTCTGCTGGGTGGTTGCAGTAGGTTTTGGTCACTTCACATGACCCTGGGACACTGTGACAGTCATAAATATGAATCAGTTGCCAAGCATCTGAATGTAAATCACAAGACCCTGGAGATGCTGCAACATTCCAGCTGATCGGCGCTTCTTCTGGGCTCAGCAGAAGCCTGAGCTCCAGTCGATCCTGGCACTGATCCTGGTGCTTCCGCTGAGCCCTGATAGTCCCGAAGAAGCGCTGATCCTGGCGCTTCCGCTGAGCCCTGACAGCCCTGCAGCTCCAGCCGTCTCTCGCTCAGGCCTGTGTGGTGCTGCCACCGGTTCAGCTCATTCCCCTCCCCCACTACCACTTTTCTAGGATGGTCACGTACCCCCTGCCAGGTGCCCATGGACCACAGGTGGTGCGCGTACTCCTGGTGGAAAAGCCCTGCTCTAAAGGCCTCCCAAGACCTCCTGCAGGGAAACGACGGTGCCTACTGGGTCAGCTGAAGGAGAGGCCTCTAGGCCTTTGGAAAGCTCAGCTCTGGCTCAGATCTCAGGAAAGGAAGGAGGAAGCAGGATGGGGGTCCTGGCTGAAATCCCTGACAGCAGCTTCAGCAGGGGTTGTGGCCCTGCTCCCTTTCAGCAGGGAAAGACTGCAGGCATCTGGCACAGCAGATGAGAAAATGGCTGAGCACAGCAATAAAAGGACAACTGGTTAATCACCCTCAGCTGAATAAAGCTGAGCTTGGAGCTGTTGACCTTTGCTTGCGTAAGGAGGAGGACAAGGGGAAAACACTGAGAGCTTCCAGGCCCTCATTGTGGAAGAGAATTAGATACGGATGTAAAGAACGGCAAAGCTCCTTCCCTGTGAACATGTGGCCTTGTATAAGAAATACGCCATTTGAACGAGGGCATTTCCTAGTTTTGCTCTCGCTGTTTTATAGTGCTTTCCTAGGTTTGGTTTTGTAAAAAATCTGCCTTTCATTTTCTGGGTCTTAATTTATTACTTCAAAGATTAGAATTTGGTACCACAAGAAGTGGTGCTAGCTGTCAGGTTGGCTGGCTTCAAAAGAGGATTGGACTCTTCTTGGAAGTCCTGGGGATGGGTGGCTGTTGGCCTGGAGGCCACCGCAGTGCTTCTGAAGGGCACAGCTAGGTGATTCTGGGCTTCCTTGTGCCCTTGGCTACTGGCAGAACAGCTGCCGGACTACCAGGCCAGGAATTCAGTCCCAGCAGGGCACGGCTTCTGTCCTCGTGTTCCCGTGCAGCTTCATCTGGGGAAGGCTGGGTCCAGGTCTCAGCATATCCCTTAGGAAGCCACCGTGGGCTGAGCTGGAAAACTGCCTGGGTCTGGAGTCCGATGCAGCAGGGCCCAGCTTCTGCTCTGAGGCGCCGGTATTCTGCTTGGGGCCGAGGGGCTGTTCCTTAGAGTGCCAGGCCCTCCTGGGGCAGGGACAGTCCCAGAGCTGGCCAGCCAGCCAGACTCACGAGTGGATCGTGCTGTATTCTCCTGAGATGCCAGGGCTCTGCTTCTGATTTTGTGTCTGTACACACAGATTGCAGATCCAGCCCTCCAGCCCACCTCCGAGCCACCCCAGCAACCATCTCTTCAAGCAGGCGGACAGCAGCCCCCCGCCCGTTAGCAGCGGCATGCTCCAGGCCCACAGTAGGTGTCGGCTGGTGAGCAGCCCGACAGGATTTGGGCTCGCTCCACAGGGCCCCTCTGCTGCCCGGGGAGTCCCCGCAGTTATGGGGAGGGGAAACGACAGGGCCAAGGCTCGCTCACCAGGAAGGCTGTGCTCTTTGCAGGTGCAGCCTCCCAGACACCCTTCCAGGGGGGGACGCCATCACCTCTGCCTCCACACGGCAACATCTTCCGGCAGCCTGGGAATCGCTCCCCACCCCCTAGCCTGGCCTTGCCCTGCGTGGGCCTGCAGCAGCCGGGGCAGCCTGTCCCCCTCCCGATGCAGGAGCCCGGCGACCTCATGGGCAGCAGTCTTCTGCAGGCTGGGCGGGGCTTGCCCAGGCCCCCCAGCACCAGTCCGCTGCAGATGCATCATCGTGCCAGCCTGATGGCCTCCCTGACCTACGGACATCGGCCCCTGTCGAAGCAGCTCAGCGCAGACAGTGCCGAGTCTTCCCACAGGTGCGGCTGGCCGAGGGTGAGGGAGGGGAGGCAGCCCGGGCTTGGCCAGGCAGACTGAGCAGAGCAAGCCTACCCCATCCGGCTGGCCTGGGCAGCGAGCCGATCCAGACGGACCCATCTGACTTGGCCTCTCTTTGTAGGTACCCATCCACCACAGGCTACGCCCAGGCGCACCTGCACCCCCAGCTGTTCCCTGAGCCGTCCCGCATCTCTCCGAGCAGCTTCGGCCCTGCTGCCCCCGCCGGCTTCCCTCCGGCCCCAGCCCTCAAGGTGCCACTGCTGGAGCAGTACTCCGGCTTCCCCCAGAGCAGCCAGCAGCAGCAGCAGCAGCACTACGCAGCCTCCACCCTGCACCAGGCCTTGCTGTCCCCCACCCCACCAGACTACAGCCGGCGCCCGCAAGTGCCCCCCATCCTGCAGGGGCTGCTTTCTCCCCGCCACTCGCTGGCCGGCCATCCAGACCTGCGACTGCCCCAGGCAGAGGTGGCCCAGCTGATCAAGCGACGGCAGCAGCAGCAGCAGCAGCAGGAGTTCCAGGAGCTGTTCCGGCAGATGAGCCAAGGGGACGCGGGACAGGGGCTCCCCAGCATGGCCCAGAAACTCCCTGACCGGCCGCCCCTGGCTTTGCCTTACCAAAACACTGACCTCTACCATCCCCATGCCAGCCCCCAGACACTCTTGAAAGTCAGGGGACAGGAGTGCCTCTCGCACGCCTCAGGGTCGGCCCGTGGATACGCCCCGCCTTCGGCTCTGCTGCACTCGGAGAGCATGGAGGAGGAGGAAGCGGCGGACTGCTTGTGTGAGGGGCCCAGGGACCCTTTCCCGGGCCACAAGACCAAAGGCTGCCCCGAGACCCGGCTCCTCTTAAGCATTGGGGGGCCTGGGGATTCGGACTCTTTATTTGGGCCTGCCAAGGGTGAGCCAGAGCTGGGAGCCCACCTGTATCGGCCCCAGACCGTCTCGCCCTTCAGTCGGAGCGAAGTGCCCTGCCCAGGTAAGGCCCGGCTCCCATCCACGAGGCGCTGGCTAGAGCCCCTTTCCAGGGCTCGCTTGTGGGCAGAAGGGCGCTCTCTTTCTCAGCTGAGAGGCAAAGGCAGCCCCCTCTGCCCCTGGGCGGCGTTGGCCTTTCGGTGGCCCCAGCTTTCCCTTCAGGAGGAGGATGGTGTTTCTCGGAGCATGGCATCCTCAGCACTGCGGGGGGGGGGAGAGGGGGAGCTGGATTTGGAGCCCTGGAAGAGCAGCAGGTGAGCGGGGGCGGGGGGCGTTCTAGAAGCTGCTGCAGTTATGTGGAGGTCTGGCCAAGTGAGGGTCAGTCTGGTAGGCTTAGTGGGAGGCCGGACCGAAGCTTTGTCACGGTATTCTGTCAGGCAGGTGCCTGGCTGCTCATGATGGGCGGAGTGATTTGGGATGAAGGGGAAGAAGAAGCAGCAGAGCCCAGATGGCCACGGGAAATGCTGTCTTTGACCTCTGTGCCCTGAGCCAGGGACCATAGGAGACCTTTGGTGACATTAAGTGGCTTGGCCTCCGGGGCCAGCACCCCTGATTTGGATCCCCTTGGCGACCCAGAAAGGCTCAGCCAGTTCTTGACTGGATTAGGAAATGGTCTTTCCTGTCCCCCTGTTCAGCCGGACGGAGCTGGGCTCGAGGGGCAAAAGATCGGGCTGGCTGGAAGACTTCCCTGGACTCCTGACCTCTTTTGCCCTCCTGCTTGTCCATCCAGATCCCATGGTCACCGGTGGCCAGGAGAGGACCTTGCCCGGGCACATCGAGATGGCCGATGTGGAGGGGCTCACGGCGTTCCCAGCGAGAATGATTCCTGGCGCGCATCCCAGATCCCGGCCCCTGCAGAGACACCACACCATCCAAAACAGCGACGATGCCTACGTGCGTTGGGGGCCGGGGGCAGGAGAGTCTGGCTGGGGCAATGCCTGAGCCTCTTGTGTCGTGAGCAGGGCTGGGTGGTTTTCCCTGTCTTATCCACGCATCCCAGCCCCTCAGTGCCCCTTTTGCTGGCTGCTGCAGGTGCAACTGGACCCTTTGCTGGGCATGAGCCTCATGGCAGGGAAAGCACTTAGTTCTGCCCGGATGGCCGATGCCGTTCTCAGCCAGACCTCCCTGGTGGGCAGCCAGCCTCTCCCTGAGGGAGAGAGGAGGGGTGAGTGCCAGACACACAACTCTGGGGGGACCCAGACTCCGGGGCAGGGAGAGCCCAGGCGGGCGGCCCTCCCTTGGCCTTGGACACGTTGGGTGGCAGGAGGGCCCTCCCTACAGCCCGGGCCCTCAGCCAGGAGGGTGGTTTCATTTTCCTCTGCCCCCACAGATGGTGGGGAACGTCTGGAAGGTCGGGAGCAGCCCGGCTTGGGTGATGGCAGCCAGCATCTCAACGCCTCTTGCTACCCCTCCACCTGTGTCACCGACGTCCTGCTGAGCTACAGGCACCCAGAGCTTCCCTTTGGGGTGGAGCAAGCGGGGGTCTAGCGAGCTGATGGCAGACGTGAGTCCTGGAGTCGGGCGCCCCACCTGCTGAGAAAGGAAGGGGGACCCGACTGGCCCTTGTTGAGGGAGCAGCACCCCAAAGGAGGGTGGGCCTGGGGCAAAGAGCATGTGTGAGTCGGGGCCTGGGGCGTCCCGGACCTCCTTGGTGCTTCCTGGCTGGAGGTGCCGACGTCCGGTGCCCACAGGAGATGGGGCGGGGGCTGGAGGCCCAGGGTTGTGTCTTCAAGGGCCATGGGTTTGCAGCTCCAGCCCAGCTGCCCACATTTCCTTCCTGGTATTGCGTTGACAGGGTTTTATACAGCTCCGAAGTGAGAAGGTCCATTTCAAACCGACAGTATCTTGCAGCCTTGCACCAAACAGCCATCACGTTTCTCTGGGAAGGAAACCTCATGGCAGTGGTGACTCTTCCTGCTCTTCCTCCTCCTCCTCCTCCACGTTGGTCCCAGAGCGTGCTTGTCCCTTTCAGATGTTCATTATTGCCATATCTGCCTGTGATGCCGGCTGTTCTGGAAGTGCCAGACCTCCCTTCCGGGGGCTGTGGAGAGGGATTGACTACCACCACGAGGGCAGCAGGCGCCTCCCTGGCCTGGCTGGAGCCAGCAATAAGCAGACTTTTGGACAGGGCCTCTCCAGGCCGGCCCTCTGCAGGGACTGAGGGGCTGGGCTGGGGCCGTCTTTATGCCTGCCTGCCTGCCTGCCTTCTGTTGCTCGTCCCCCCCAACCCCCCCCCCAATTCAGGCTCTCTCTTCTCTCCCCAGTCCCTTCCTGGCCGCAGTGCAATATTGCTTTTGTGTCTCTCTCATTTATGGACTTTTCTGTGTTTGGATTTTGTCATTGTGCTTAAACATCCTTTTTTTCTCTTTTGTATCTCTTTTTCATTCATATCATGTGCTATCTTTCCTTTTTTAGTTTAATTCTGAGAAAGTTTGGTTCTTGTTTTTTAATTTGTTTCCCATCAGATCATGTAGGAATTTGTTTCAGTAAATTTTTGGGTATTATTATTATTATTAATATTAATAAATTAATTCAGAATGCCTTTCTGCCCTTGGCCGTGCTGCTTGCCCCCCTCTCCCTGCCCCTCTGTTGGCTCTTCCCAGGGCCCGGCATCTTGGCTGCGCGGCCTGCCCTCCGGAGGAACCCCCCTTCTCGGTGACTGGTCGGGTGAAGAGGCCTTCGTGTGGAGAGCGCCTGGTATCATCTTTCTGCCTTTGGGGACCTTTGGAAGCCCCCCCCCCCCAGAATTCCTGTTACTGACTCTTTGGAAGGATTTTTTAAAAGGGCAGCCTTCCTGCAGCTCTCCGGATCGGCATGGAAGCACAGAATCCCTCGGAGGGCTGATTCTTTGGCTGAGCCTCCCTTCTCTTCGGGAGCACCTGGTCTCTTCCTATGGGCTGGATCAGAACTGGAGCTTCCGTGGCTAGGAGGAGGGGGGACCTGAAGGTGGCCCATCCACCCACCACCTTCGGCCCAGCTCTGGACTCCGGCTTGTTTATCCTCCTGTTTACATGACCTGGGAGGTGACAGCAGCAGCACCCCCCCCCCAGCCCTATTCCAACAGGCTGGGTGGGGCATGCCGGGCTGGGCTGTTTTGCAGTATCACATTTTTGTTTGTTTGTTTTCAGTTTTGGGTTTTTTTTAATTGTTGCTTTGTATTGTATAATCAGTACTTACAGTATATGTTGAATGTATAATATACTTTGCTATTATTTCTGTTTTGGGGAAATGTCCAGAGTATTTTTCTTGTTTATGTTGGACTAAAACAAGACCCTCCATACACACAGGTCCCCCAGGTTTTCAGTAAATTCTTAGTTCCGTTTTGGGTGGGTGGGCTGTTTGCAACTAGCTGTTCAAATAAACCCTTGATTCTGATTGGCTCTCAGTTCTGGTCTGGCTCCTCTCTTGCTGCCATTGGGGAAGCTGCTGCCCAGCCCAGCCCAGCCCAGCCCAGCCCAGCCCCCGGGGGCTAGGGGGGGCGGGAGTGGTAAAAAGAGCCCAGAGGATGGCTGCAATGTTGCCGGTGAAGTGAAACTGCGTCCCTTTGACTTTGACCACGCCCTGCAGGGAGCAACGAGCGTGGCAGCAGGGGTCTCCTAGAGCGGCTGTAAGGGATGGTCTCCCCCAAGGTGACTTGGGGCCCTTTTTGCCCTGAGGGCTGTAATCGGCAGCAGCCCCCGTCTGTGGCTCCAGTGCCCCAGCCAGCCTCCGTTAGGTTGGATAAAAAGCTGGTCCCACTTGGAGTCTACAGGGTTTGGCAGCTGACCCGGCAGGGCCAAGCTCTTCATTGCTGGCTCAGGGCAAGCAAGTCTCCGTCCAGGCTCTGGGAAATGGCCGGCCAGAGCAGCCCTTGAGCAAGGAGGAGCCACGCTCCTGTTTCGTGTCTGCCATTTGCATGGAGGATCCCTCTTCCTCCTGACAAGGAACTGGGAGCCTTTGCCAGCTCCAGAGCTTTGGCCTGAAGTGTGCCCACGGCCTCCTGGGTCATGCCAGGCCTGCTCTCCTCCCTGGGCGGGCATCTGGGCAGCTCCTTCACTGTGGAGGGGCTCTGAGGCTCCTCCGGGGGTTTTGGGCCAACCTTTCACTAGCAGCTCATATTGACGCAAGGGACCTGTTTGTAGCCTTGGCACAATGGCAGGATTTCATCCAATGGAGCAGGAGGGGGGAGGGGCTTGATCCAGAATTTGGAGCAGCCATTCTCCACCTCCAATTTTGCTGGTGGCAGAAGGGTGGGTGTCCCTCCTCTGCCCTTGCCCACCTAAGCTGCTGATTGGTTGCAGGCTAGAAGAGCCGGGGGGGGGGCTGCATGCCCCCAGTAGCTTCTCCGGAAATCTGGCTGTAGGAGTACTTGGGTGGGATGTGCGATCAACCCTGGCATGTGTTGGCTGTTGAGAAAAACAAAGCCCCCCCCCCGTGTGGCTTGGCTCAGCTCCATGAATTAAAGAAAGGAGCCCCCACCTCCTGTCCCGTCCCAGGTGTGGAAGGACAACAGCGGTGCAGAGCACCTCCTTCAGCTCTGCCTGCAATAGGCTGGGCTAGTATTTGCCCTGGGCATTTGATTTCACCACCTGCGTGCCAAGCAGGGCTCAGGGCTGAATTTTGGAGCCTCCAGGAGTGGCTTCAATGGGGGAAGCAAGTCTGACAGAGAACCACAAGAGAAGCCTTTGCTGGCTTCTCATGCTCAACTCAGTTGGTCCTTCATTTGGGAAGGCCCATCTGTTAGGCCTGGTTGGAAACTGAAACCAACTCATGTCCACAAAAGAGGTTTGCCCAGGCCCCGGATGAGTCCTTCCAGGTGGGGGTCTCTGCAAAACCCATCTTCCGTCTAGAATATTTGGAGTGCGTCTTCTCTGCCAGAGGGGTATTGATTTGCCAGTGTGCCCCCCTTGTCTGACACTGGTGCTCCATTCCTGTTTCCTGCAGCTGGGAGTCTGTTCAGGTGGGCCACTGTCCGCTGCTTGTGGCAGAAGCAGGACAGAGAGGGCCTAGCCTTGATGGGAGGAGGAAGGCTGGCATAGCCTGTTGGTCTTGCCCCAAGTCTGGGGTGAGCCTGACTTCCATCAGCTTGCCTGGAGAGTGGAAGCATCTCACGGCCGGAGGGCCCTGCCAGCTACTAAGCCTCCCCCACAGTCCCAGGGCCCTCCGCTTGTTTACTGCTGCTGGCCGATGACTGCCAGCTGAGTACGCAAACTGGCCCTGAGCCCAGGCCGGCTCTTGGCTTGATCCCAGTCAGTTCTCTTGTCCCTGGTTCTCTTGCCTGGGGATGTGTTTGATCCTTGAACTCTTAAGCGCCACATAGTCACAGCTCAGGAGTGAATTCCCTGTTTATAGCTACTGCTTATCTCCAGCAATAAACAACCCTGTCGGTATAAAAAGCCTCCATCGACTCCATGCAGCAAAGACCGCAGCAGACACCTGAGTGGCTGGTAAGATGTGGGCAACCCCCGGGCTTGGCTTCATCCAGCTGCTCTCTTCCTCCCTCATTTACTGACCCTTCTCCCCAATTCCTTCGCCGGCAGGAGGGCGGTAGAGAAGAAGGGCAAGGGAACATTTGGCGTGGGGACAAGGAGCAGGTGCTGGGGGAACTGCTCGGGGTCTCTTGGGGATGGGCAGGGGCCCAGGCTGGATCCTCAGCTGAGAGGGTGTTTGGGCATTAAGAGCCACCCTGCGCCCCTCCAGCTTAGCCCTATTTCCCTTGGGTCACTGCCCATGCCAGGAGATGGAGCTGTGGGCCTGGGCAGAGGTACGGAGGGCTTCTCTTTCCCAACGGCTTTTCTTGCTCCCAGGGTTGAACGTAGTTCATGATGCAGAGCCTCAATCTTGTCCTGGCCCTCCTGCTCCTTACAGGTGAGTGTGGGCAGAGGAGCCGTCAGGTAGGTTGGGCTGGGTGTGGGGGCAAGGCTGCTGCCCGGGTGATTGTGGAGAGGAGAGCAGTTGCTCCTGCTGTGGCAAGGGCTGCCTTTGGGTGGCTGGGAAGGGAGAGTCCTCCGCCTGTGCTGAGCCCACTCCGCCTTGCCCTGCAGGAGCCCAGGCCCGCTACTTCTGGCAGCATGATGATCCCCAGCAGACTCGCCTGGAACGCCTGCAGGAGCTCGGCCAAGTGTACCTGGAGTCAGCCAAGACAGCAGTCCAGCAAGCTGTGGCCCAGTTCGACTCCTCTGCCGTGGCCCAGGAGCTGCAGTGAGTAGTGCCTCGCACCTTGGGGCGAGGCTGGGGGGCACCTCTGGGATTTTCCGGGAGGAGGAAGATGTGGTTGCCCTGGAAGATTGCGAGCCCTCTCCCCATGTACTTAGCAGGCTGATTGGCAGAGCAGACATGGCAGGAGAAGGCTGCTGGCTAGGGAAGGGTCCACTGTCCTGCCCTGTGGGATGGACGAGAGAAGAGGCAGAGCCAGCCGGGCTGCTTCCCAGGGGAGGAGAGGAGGGTCCCTGGTGATGGACGAGATCCGGGGTGTTGGACCCAGGAGAGAATGCTGGCAGTTTTTCTTTTTGGAAGATAAAAAGGCCTCTTGAATAGGAAACTCAAACGGAAAAGCATTGAGTAACAAAACCCAAAGCAACTGAAGAGGAAAAACAAAACAACATTTCAGAGTGTGCACCTGTTTGAGAGAGGTCTTGGGGCTCTGTGTTCAGGATGCCCACGCTGATCGGCAGCCACTCCGAAAGGCAGGGCAAGAGGGCTGGTGGACCCACCCAGGGATGTAGGGCGACACCGTTGTTGAAGGCCCTGCCAGGTGTCTGGTGGCTGTCCCTACCCTGGGCGAAACAGCCTTAGAACAGCCATACCAAGATGAAGCTGGCTTCTGGGACACCCTGTCCCTCCCCAGGCCTTTTGGGCAGTGTCCAGTTTCATGTCCATCCCCCAGCATCTCTCAGTGATTAAGGCAATCTGAGAGAGGTAGGTGGCATCTTCTGGGCTCCTCTTAAATGCAGCTTTAATGTTTTTGCTACTGCGAGAGAACTGGTTGCATGCTGACCCTGGATCACATGAGAAGTGAATTTGTTCTAATGCTTGGACTGAGCAAGGGACTAATACTTCAAATCAGTTGATTTTCAGAGGTGGTTTGTATATGCTTTGAATTCAATTTACCTTCCAAATACATTTGGCAGTGTACAAACTGAAACATACGCTAAGGAAATGGTGTGGCTGGATTTCTAGATTCTGTCAAAGATGCTCTGCTTGAACAGCAGCCAACCAACAATTCTTCTCTATATGGAAAATCAGTGGCTCAGCATATTTTTTTAAAAAAATTGAAATAAGAAACGCATCTCTCATGATTTAAAAATGAAATCAATTCATCAAGCAATATATTTTCAGCTCTACTACCCTCCTCTAAAAACCTTTAAAAAGCAACAGGTGTTACTGTTCTAATAATCACTATTACACATTTAAGGTCCTTTTTTCTTTCACAATATATTCATTGTAGGCACTTGCATTTCACTAAAACAATGTGATTTTTTTTTTAAAAAAATTAAAATAGTTTTTTAATCTTTGGTGTTTTTGTTAGGAGTTGTTGGTTTTATTCTGTTGTACCCTGGAGAGAATTTAGAAAATGAGGTGGAAAAAAAAAAGATAGGTGACCTTATCCTAGTGGGCCACCACAGGTATGAGCCAGCTGTGTGCTACAGCTGCCAAAAAGGCCAATGCAGTTCTGGGCTGCATCAACAAAGGGACAGCATCACGATTGCAAGAAGCGATAGCACCACTGGTAAGACTATGCTTGGAATACTGCATCCAGTTCTGGTTATCATGATAGAAAAAAAGTTGCTGGACTCCCAGAAAGAGTGCAGAGAAGAGCAACAAAGAAGATAAAGGGTCTGGAGACTAAATTGTATAATGAACAGTGGAGGGAGCTGGGTATGTCTAGCCTAGAGGACAGAAGGATTGGGGGGGGGGCATGATAACTTCCAGAACGTGAAGGGCTGTCCCAGACAGGAGAGGATCGACTTATTTTCCAAAGCACCGGGTGGCAGGGCAAGAAGTGATGAGTGGGAGCTTGTTAAAGAGAGATTCATTCTAGAGCTAAGGAGAAATTTTCTAACAATGAGAACAATCAGTGGATTAGCTTGCTTCCCGGAGTTGTGGGGGCTCAGTCACTGGAGGTTTTCAAAAATAGACTGGACAATCATTTGACTGGGATGATGAGGTCTCCTGCCTTGGGGATGGAGGGGTGGACTAGAAGACCTCTGAAGTACCTTCCGATTATAGGAGTCTATGTTTTATTGGTTATGTCATTTTTTTCAGCCAGATCAACTTCCCATCCTGTCATCCAACAAAATATGTATTTTGATTTTTCACTGTTTTTCAAAATACTCTAGATAGGGGGATGGGGGTCAGCTTCTCTTCCCCCTGCAGCCTCTGACTCAAGTCTTACTCTGTTACAGAGTGAATTTAGGGCAGAAACTGGAAGCCCTGACAATTGTACTGCGAGAGATCAAGGAGCAGATAACCCCCGAGCTGCAAGAAGTCAGGACCGAACTGGAGACGGCCTGGCAGAAGCTGAAGGAAGAGGTGACCAGGGACGTGCAGGACCTCGGAGCCCAGATCCAGCCCTTGCTGCGCAGGCTTCGGGAGAATGTGCAGCAGGACGCGGCTGCCTACTTCCAGCAGCTGAGTAGCGTCTCCAAGGAAATCAACCAGGTGGCCCAGGAGAGGCTGAGGCCGGTGGCCGAGGGCTTCCGGGACAAGGTGCGGACCCACGTGGACGAATTCCGCAAGGACGCTGCTCCCTACGCTAAGAAACTGGAGCAGCTGATCCAGGAGAAGGTCAAGACACTGGAGCAGAGTGCCCAGGCCGAGTTCACCGAGTTGCAGACTGAGCTGCAGCAGCAACTGAGCGAAGTGCGTGAGAAATACGGGCCCCTCTGGGAAAAGGCCCGGGAGGAGCTGCTGACCGTGCTGGAGAACATGAAGTCCTTGTTTGTGGCCACCCAGAATTTGGAGCAGGAGACACAGCAGCAGAGTTCCTAGAGGCCCTGCCTTGGTGGGCCCCCCAATCAGCACTGCCTCTCCCCCCTCCCCGCAAGGGTCACGGTGACCCATCCTAATGGCTGAGGAGGCTGGCAAGTCCTTTGTAAGACAGTAGAAGGCCAGAAACAGCCCCCCTCCCAGCTGCTAGTCTCATGTCCCCTCCCTAGACTTTTTTCTCTTCTCCTTTTATGCCAAATAAAAAATGATTATATGCAAATGATTTCTGTGTCTACTTGCACAATGAGGGGCCGGGGGGACCTAGGCGGTGAGACTGGGAGTTCAGCTCATCCAAAGCTCCCCCATGCCCCTTTGCCAGCTAGGAGGAGATGGGAAGGACGCTTCCTGCCCCTCATCAATGACTCCAACTGAGGGTGGGTGGGGTGGTCCTCAAGCTTTGAAGGGGGATGCTTGGGACACAGGGCACGCTCCTCCCCCCCAGATAGTGTTCCCCCACAGGCCAGGCCACGAATGGGGTTAGGGTGCTGACGCCTGCCAAGGTCAGGAGTGAACGGGTGGTCTGGAATGCAACTATTCTGGGATTGGGAGGAGGTTTTTGGACCAGAGCCAAACTGCCTGACATGTGGGTCCCCCAGAACCACGCTTCTCTCTGGCCCCAGGGACCAAGGGCAGGGACTTTCCCCGGCTTCTCTGCAGCCCCCCTTGGCCGGGGGGCAGATCAGCCCTCTTCACAAGATGTGCAGCACCCCCTCAGCCAAGGCTGAGCAGGGGCATGTTTTGGGACGCACCTCTGCTCTTGTGACTACTATCTGAGGATGAGGAGCAGTGAAAGCCCCTATGAAATCCCTGCCCTGGGGGGAGGGCGGATGCCCGTCCACTGGCCACATAGGAAGAAAGCCAAGCATGCAACGGTCTGCTCGTTTTAATGAGAAAAATTCCACAGTAGTCAGAAAGCGGGCTGGGGGGGAGGGGGGAGCCGAGGGTCCCCAGTTAGGGTGGATGGTGCTCCGTTGGGCTCCTGAGCGTAGAAGGGGGCTCCAGTCTCAGGCGCTGGCAGGGTTTCTCTCCAGCAGGTTTGAAACTCGAGTCTTTACTTGCTCAATCACGTCCCGGGTGCGTTCAATGCCAATCTGTGCCAATTCCCTGGAGAGAGTTACGGTGGGGTGAGAAGGGGAGGAAAGGGAGTTCAGGGAATAGCGCCCCCCCCCCCCCCAGAGAGGCCCTGTTGGGTAGGGAAGCCGTAGCTGGACGCGCGCTGAGCCCAAAGGGGGTCTGTGCGTTGCAAAGGTTCAAGGTGGAGAAGCGAATCAACGGCACAGCCGGCCAGGTGTCCTCGCCAGTCAGACGGGGACTTTGTGAGAAACGAGAGTCTGGTCCCAGTCTTGGCCAATTTAGGAGGCCATCATGCTCTCTCTCTCTCTCTCTCTCTCTCTCTCTCTCTCTCTCTCTCTCTCTCTCTCTGTGTGTGTGTGTGTGTGTGTGTGTGTGTGTGTGCGTGCACGCGCGCGCGGGTGTGTCCCGGTGCTCCGGAAGCTGGACACGAAGCTGCCGCTGCCGGCTCTGCCCTCCTAGGAGTGCCTGCCCTGCTCCCCTGGAGAAGAGAGGCCGGACAGCCCCCACCCCGGCCTCTTGCTCCACGTCGCTCGGCCCACAGGAGGAGCAGCCCCCAATGGCTGTGCAGCGTCTGCGTCCTCCTCCCCACCCCCAAAATGCCAGAGACCCCCCAAACCCACCTCGCTTGCTGGTAAACAGCGGATGCTCGGAAGGCGGCGATGCGCTCTTGCGCCTTCTGGACGACGCCCTGGAAACGTGTCCTCAGCGTCTCCTGGGCCTCTTCAGCTCCTGTGAAGCAAGGGCGGGAAGACTGAGCGAAGGCGGGGGCAGGGAAAGAGCCGGGGCCCCGGGCCCCACCTGCCAGGGCCCCAGTTCAGCCCCCTCGCCACGAGCCCCGCTTACGTGCAACGGTGGCCAGTAGCGCCAGAAGGGCCGGCAGTAGCAAGAGCGGGGCCCTCATCGTTCCTGGGGAGGGTCCTGTGCCGAGAAAAGGGGCCGTCACTGGCCTGGGGGGCGGCGGCGGCTGGCAGCGCACGGGCGGTCTGGGGGCGGGCGGTGCCCGAGGCGGCTCCAAGCCAGGGAGAAAAGGGGCGCGAAGGGGAAGGACGCGAGGCTGGGCCGGGGCTGGTTAGCGAGGGGCACAGCAGGCGGCCGGGGCCGGACTCAGTTCGCCGCAGGGCTTAGACGGGCGGATGGCCGTCGGAAAGCCTTCGGCGCACGCCTTGCTGGGCCGGATTGCTGGGTCAGGCTTCTCTCCCACCTTTCCTTCAGGAGCTGAAAGTGAAGCTGTCGCCCTTTCAACCCCGAAACAGCCGCCGGGGGGGGGGGAGGGGGAGAAACTGCGGGAGTCAGCCTGGCGCGGATCTCCCGAGGGAGACGCGGCTGCGGCTCTCCCCGGCCCGCCGCTCGCCGGCCCCGCGGGACCCGCCTGGGAAACGCGGAGAGGCGCAGGGCTGCCTGCCGCGGGCCGTTGAGCCGGACGGCCGAGGAAGGGAGGCTGCGCTCCTTGGCCCGGTTCTCACCTTCTGGCTGGGCTTCCTCGAGCGGCTGTCCAGACTGCAGGACGGGCGGCCGCCGCTCCCCGTTTATAGCCCTCCTTCCCCCGGCTGGCCCCCCGGGGCTGCGCGGTCAAAGTTCCGCCGGGGAGGCTTTTGGGAGGCGCCGGGCCAGGGCAGGGGGCTCCGTCCCCCCCTTTGCCGTGTTTGCCCTGCGGTCGCTTCTGCAAAGGTTGGGACATTCGCCTGCTGGCCCCGCTCCGGCGCTGGGCCCTCCACCGCGGCTGCGGCTCCGCCAGTCTGGCAGGGCCCCTCCCTGAGCGGCCCCCTCGGAGCCTGGCCCTGGCCCTGGGGTGGGCTCGGTGGGGCCTGGCTCCGTGCCACTTTCTCCTCTTGGCTGGACGGGGCACTTGGAGCCCAACATGGAAACCCAGGAAAATGTCACCCCAATGATGTGGAAGAAATGCAGACCCCCTGGGATGGGGAGCCCTTCCCCTGCCTGCCTCAGTGGGGCTGGGCGCCCCAGAGTTGTTTCCTGTTGCTCCTGGGGCACCTGCTGATTTTCCGGGGTCAGGGCAGGAGGTGCCCTCTCTACTACCATCTCCTGATTCATTCGGGCTTTGCAATCAGTTGGCAGGCTGTGGCGAGGATCCCAAGGCTTGTTTGGAGTCTCTCTTCAGAGGCATTGGGGGGGGGGGTGTCAGTAAATCTGCCCCTCCCCCAGAGGGGTTTAAATTGGGCAGCTGGGCAATCGGTGTCCTTGCGGTGACCAGGCTGGCCTGTTTCTGTGACAGCTCTTCTTTTGGGGAGACTTTGGAAATCAGGGTGCAAAAACACGGGATCCAAACCCATCCAGCTAGCATACGCCTCTGGAGGGAGACTGTCATCTTGGAGGGGGGGATCAGCCCAGATTGAGGGGGGGGTCTGCAAAGTCAGGGTCTCTTTTGATGCCCAGGATGGCTTCCCAAAAGAAGCCAGTGGATCCAGCTCTTTTCTCGGCCTTGGGTCTTTCCTGGCAAGGGCAGCCCTGGCTCCTGGCCAAGGTTGTGCTGGAGGCTGTTTCTTTCCACGGGTTCTTCAGGGCTCCCACACAATCCAATACATTCCAGCAACCTGTGACCTCTCAGCACCAACGGGATCATCTTTGAACCCTCTGGGCTGTTGCTGGCCGCTGCCGCTTCATCCTGCACAACAGCCCTGCCTGCCTTGGACTGTGACCTCCAGATAACGCAGCCAGGCCAGCCAGGGGTCAGTTAAACAAACTAGTTTATTTCTACACCCCAGGAGAGGCCTTCAAATCCAGAGTGTGTGTCTCTGTGCTGCCTGTTTCAATCAAGGTGGAGGGGGGCACCCTGCACATGCTCAGAGGCAAGAGCAGAGGGGCACCTTCAGTCTCTAGACTTAATCTCTGTCCAGTTTCAAGAAGCATCACCCAAGAGATCCCCTTTGGTTAGCTGTCTGCTTTGACAGACAAATGCAATATTGATTCTCTTGGACTCTGTGCCAGGACGCTGATGAGACCCAGACTTTGACAAGGGTAGCAAGTGGCCAAAACGTTGACATCACGGTTGTGGGCCTGGCATGCAGAACTTGGGTGGAAGTTTGCAAAGACAAGCCAGATGGGAACAGGTGGGAAGAGAGGCATCTGGAAGGATTTTGGAAGGCCAGCTTTTGATTGCCTGCATGGCCTCTTCTGCCTTCATCCTGACCAGATCCAGAGAGCCAATTTATTATTTCCCTAGCCAGGAATTTCTCACATTCCATTGGAAAGCATCACTAGCACCATTTGGCTGGCAGGATTTGGGAGCAAAGCTTTTAGCCTACTGAAAGTGTTTGAAAGAATCTTTTGTTGATTGCATAAAGGACACCGTCTTTGGAGGAAGCCTTCACCCATTTAGATTTTTCCTGGGTGGCTGTCATCAGATTGTGTTTTGTTCTGTAAACCGGAAGGGTCTTTTTCCCTCCGCCAAAGAGAGGTGGTGCAAAAGAGGAAGGTTTGTGATCCTTTTGCTTCTGGCCAAATTCTGCCCTAGAGTTGCCTTAGAGCTCCCGGCAGCTTCACAGGGCAGACCCAGAGTGTGTCCAGTCCTGATTTGGGGGCTCTTCACACCTGAGAAAAGCTCACTTTGAAAGATGGCGTCTGATCTGTTCTAATCCACAGACTAATGAGCCACCAAGCCAAGTTCATGCCACGGCCAGTGGATCACAGTTCTATGAAACTGAAAGGCATCAAATCTGAAAAGGGAAACAATGCAACTGGCACAGGGTGCGGGTCTCACTTCGTATTCATGTGTGCTGAACCCCAAGTGGCTCCCGGGAGATACAAAGCCATCCAACGTCCCAGGGTCCCTTTGGCCTCTCTGGGCAGAGGCTGCTTGCTCCGAAGGCTTTGCTGGACCTCCTGCCTGCTTTGGGGCCTCCCCCTCCTGGACCCTCTTGGCAGGGGGGGGGCTTCCCTCTACTGCCACCTGCTGGCCAGAGCCACCCAACAAAGTGGTGATTTTCCACTCTTCTCCTCTTCTCCGGAAGGTGATAGGGCCAAGGGGTGGGGATCACTAGTGCACCAGATGCCCATGGGTTCAGCCGTGAGGGGTGTGCTGTGGGATGTGGTAGTTTGGAAGCCTTGAGTGCAGGTAGGATGACATCCTGGGATGACTCTTTAATTCCATGCTGAGTCTAAGGAAAGCCAGCCCACCAGACCTTGGCCAGAGGGCCGGGGACCCCCCCCCCAGGGGTCTGATGTGTTTTTCCAGAGGGACCACAGGAGGCTCCGGACAGCCACATAATCTTTGTGGCTAAGCTCTTTTGCTAATGCAAATGGGGGTGAGGGGTATGTGAAAATGGCTCAGATTATCCATTCCCACTGAAGACTCCTGGCCTGCCCCCCCCTCCAGGCACAAGGGCCTCCAGGTCTGGGTTTCAGGAGAGATTCCTGTTGAGCAGCCTTCTCCCCTACCAGGTTGCTCCCATTCTTGACCTCTTCTTTTATTGTTATTATAATATTATTACATTTTGCTTATCTCCTGTTCTCCCCACCTTAGACCTGGCCAGGGATGTGCTGTCTTCTCCCTGCTGGCAGAGGCTGGGCACTGTGCAAGAACTCTCCTGTGGAGCTGCAGATAAACGGCAACCTTGTGACCATGCAGGCCTCCACGTCACATTCCTGCTAAAGTCCAAGAGCTCAAGGAGGTGTCATCAGCCTGTGTGGATGCAAGAAGATGCCATCCCCAGGAATATAAATACAGAGACGCTCCCCAGGCAGAGCTGCAGAGCAGAAGCCTCTCGTGCAGAAGGTGAGCCCTGGCTGCAAATGGAGGCCAAGGGGGATGGGTGGGCTGGGCAGGCTGTGCGCTTGGGCTTCTTTGTGGGAATGGGCAGCCCTGGGTGCTTTGTCAGGCAAGAGTGGGCTGGGTGAGGCTGCTGTTGCCTTTGCCTCACGTCACCTTGAGAGGCATCTGGTTCCCCCCCGGGGGGGGGAAGCTCCTGACTTCCTTTGCCTTGGCCTGGGGGAGCCCAAAATCCTTGTTGAGGTGATGCTGCAGGACTGGAGCCAACGCAGAGCACAGTCCCAGGGCAAAGGGCTGCCATGAGGAGGGGTCACCTCTGCCTCTTCTCCACAGGTCTGTTGCTGACAGGGCTTTGTGTGCTGTTCCCTGCCATCTGCCATGTCTCTGAAGGCAGCTGCTTTCCTCCTCGGACTCTTGGTTGCCACCACAGGTATCAGGATCTCGTCATCTCCAACTTTTAATTGCAGACAGCCTTAGTTCCTCCACCCTTCCTCGGGCTTTCTCGGGCTGGGGTGTTTCTGCTAATTGGCTGCCTACAAGAAGTAGGGAGAGGATGGGCTGAAGACATCCAGAGATGCTGTGTGGCTCAGATCTGCAGACAGAGATGGGGGTGCTGCAGAAAAAATGCGTCCTTGGTTTTGTCCCTCATCCAGAGTGGCTGGGGTATGGGCGACAGAGATATGAAATTGCCAGCAGCAGCCCCTTTGATGGGCATGGCTGGAAAGGGGGCCACAAGAGTCCAGGCAAGGGTCCCTAGTTCCTTTCACAGGTCTGGCTGGCCCAGAGAGGAGGCCCTCAGGACTGACCTTTTTCTCCTCGTTCCCTGTAGGGGCCCAAGACGGTCCCACCCCCCAACAGCTTACTGACTTGGTCTGGCAGTACTTCACCCAGCTGAGCAACAATGCCGAGGAGACCCTGAGACAGGCCCAGCAGTCGGACATCAGCAAGCAGTTCACGTGAGTTGCCAATGGCTTAAAGCCATTTCAAAGCAGCCAGTAGGTTCTCCTGCGCTAAGATGGGGGAGGCCCACTTGTGGAGGTGTGGCTGTAGTAGGAAAGGATCAGGCAAAAAGGGATGAGACGTGATCTCCCTCCCATTTTCTCCCAGGGTCCTGATCCAGGACAACCTCCAGGCCATGAACACCTACTCCAAGCAAATGCAGAAAAAGATGGCCCTGTACGTCACACAGCTGCTGGCCCAGCTAAGCGAAGAAGGGGAAAAGATAAAGGAAAGGATCAAGACGGAGCTGGAGCAGCTGCAGACGGATATCGGTCCCTTCTCAGCAGATGTCCAGAACCAGGTGACCACAATTGCCCAGAACCTGAAAGTCCAGCTGGCCTCCCACGCCGAGGAGCTGCAAGCAACAACAGACATCCTGGCCACCCAGGTCAGCCAGCAACTGGCGCCCTTTGTGCAAGAGCTGCAGGCCCAGCTGAAGGAGAATGTGGGGGACCCAGCCTCTCTCTCCCCTTACGTCCAGAGGCTTCAGCAGACCGTCAACGAGCAAGTGGAAGACATCAAGGTGCAGCTGGGCCATTTTCCTGCAGAGGTAAAGACCAAGGTGGACCAGGCGGTGGAGGAGCTGCACAAGCGCCTCTCCCCCTATGCCCAGACAACGCCAGAGCAGCTGAGGCGGCAGCTGGAAGAGCTCTCCTTCCGGGTGGCGAGAAGCGCGGAGGCCCTGCGGGACAAGATCCAGGAAGAAGCTGAGCGGCTGCAGGGACGGCTCGACGGGCTTCTGCAGGGAGACCTGATGTCCCGCCTGGACAGCCTGAAGGAAGATGCCGGGCAGCAGATTGAGGACTTCCGCCAGCAAGTGGGGTCTTTCGGGGACAGCTTCAACCAGCTGGTGGTGGGAAAAGTGCAGCAGCTGGGCCAGAGGTTGCAAGACCCTGCTAGTGGGGTGGAGGACCACCTGAGCTTCTTGGAGAAGGAAGTCAGGGAGCAGATCATCGCCTTCACAAACAGCCTCCGGGAGACTGAGGAGCGCCTCCTTCTTGCCCCGGAGGAAGCATAAGAGAGGGGAGCCCTGCAGCTCTCCCAGGAGACCCCAAGACTTTGTGCTTGAAATAAAAGAACTGCTCAGCCACCCTCCAGGCTCTGTCTCTTGCGATGGGGGGGGGACCCAGGAGAGCAAGCAGGGAAGGGCGCTGGGGGAAGGGGCTCTCCATCAGGTTTTATTTATTCCTCAACTGCACAGGGCTGCCCATCCCACGCTTTTGTGACTCGAGGTGGCACACACAATAAAACATTATAAAATATTAATAAACATTTTAAAGCATTTTAAAGAGAAAACAGAAGCTGAGAAAAGCAGCAGAGCAGCCCGATGGCATAACAGCATCCCAATATGGGGGCAACCGGGCCGCACGTGGCTATGGGCAGAGACCCCCACCCGGGAAGGGGCACCAAGGTCCCACTGCAGGTTGTGCATGCAGCCCCCCCCCGGCCCCACGGATGGCAGTGGCCTCGAATCGGTGGGCCTGCCCGAGCGGCCATCTCGCCTGGACCCCCGCCTCTCTCACGGGCTTCCCGCCTTGCCTCAGGGATCACGTGAAGGGCCCGTGCTGATTGATGAGGCCTTGGAAAGACCCCAGCTGGAATGCTGCACCCGGTTTTGGTCACCGGGATATAAAAAAGATGCTGGGACTCTGGAAAGAGGGCAGGGCAGAGCCACAAAGAGGTCGGGGGGGGGAGCTGAAACAGACGAAGGACGGCTGCAGGAATAGGAATAGAAGAGCCGGGCGCGACACCAGAGCAGCCTTCCAATATCTCGGGGGCTGCCACAAAGGAGGGCTGTGCGTGTCAATCTGTTCTCCAAGCACCCGAAGGCCAGACAGGGAACAGCGGAGGAAAAGTAACCAAGGAGAGAAGCAATTTAGTGCGGGGGAGGAACTCCCTGGCAGTGAGAGCAATCAGCCGGCGGAACAGCTGGCCACTAGAGTCTGCGGGGCTTCATCACTGCAGGCTTTTCAAGAAGAGACCGGACAGCCGCTTGTCTGAAATTCTGTACGGTCTGCTGCTCAGGCGGGGGTTGGACTAGAAGACCTCCAAGGTCCCCCTTTCCAACTCGGTCACTGTCATTCCGCATAGGAGTCCCCGGGCGACCCCGACACGCAGGGACCCCCCCCCCGGTGGGGACGGGAGCGGCGCCTGCGGGCCGCCTCTTGACACTCGCAGCCAGGGCAGCAGGGCGCTGGGGGGGGGGCGAGTGACGTCACCGGCGTTCTTCTTCCGCCGGAAGCGGAAGCCGGTGCGGAGGGTCCGGCTGATATGGCGGCGGTGGGCCGGGAGCCGGCGGAGGGCGCCGCGGGGTTCTTCCGCCCGCTGAGCGCAGACGACGAGGAGCAGCTGCCGACCGAGCTGGAGTCGCTGTGCATGGGCTGCTTCCGCCGAGTGAGGGCGGGCGGGGCGGCGTTGCCCGGGGTCCCGGGGGGGGGGGTCCCGCCTGCAGCGCGGGGCAGCCCGGCCGGGCCTCAACCTCTCCCTCCCTCCCTCCCTCCCTCCCCGCAGGGCGTGACGCGGCTGCTGCTGACCCGCATCCCCTTCTTCCGGGAGGTCATCGTGGGCTCCTTCGCCTGCGGCAGCTGCGGCTGGAGCAACTCGGAGGTCCAGTCGGCCGGGCGCATCCAGGCGCGGGGGGTGCGCTACGCGCTGGCCGTGAGGAGCCGACAGGTGGGATCGCTGCGGGGCCCCCTGTGTCCTGCGGCCGCGCCCTGCGGCCCTCGCCCCCCCCCCAGGCGACCCCCCCTTCTCCCCCCAAACGGGAAGGGTGGGCCTCGAGCAGAGCCTTCGAAGGGAGGGGCTGTTGACGGAGGAGGCCTGGGGGCTGCCCGAGGCTCCTGGCTGGGTCCTCTTGGGGCAGAGCAGCCTCTGCTGACCCGCTTCTCTCCAGGACTTGAACAGGGCCATGGTGAAGACGGACGGCGCAACCGCCAGGGTGCCAGAGCTGGACTTCGAAATCCCGGCTTTCTCTCAGAAGGGAGGTGGGTGCCAGGCCCTCTTCTGGCCCGTCTTGAGGCAGGGGGACGCAGGAGAGCACCTGGAGGGGGAGGGGGAGTGCTGGGCAGGGCACAGCTGCCAGGGGTCTCCGCTGCAGGGTGATTCCCGTAAGCAGGTGCTTTGGTCCCCCAGCTAGCTTTCTTTGGGTCTGAGGAGGGGAGTGTTGGCTCCTTTGCAAGCTGGGTTCCTTTTTGGCTCCAAGGAAGTGCGGCTTTAATTTGTGTGGCTGAGCTCAGGCCATCTGCTGCCATTTCTCCAGGCCGACTGGAATTAGGGCACAATGGGAGGGGGCTTGAGAGCGCCTGGTGTGCGTGTTGCCACCTTTTGAGGGACAGAAGCTGCAGCCTTTTCTTTCTGACCACTGGTTTCCTCCAGAGGATCTGGTGGTTGGCAGGATGCCATATTATTAGTTTTTGTTTTTGTTTTTTAATAGTTAGGATAGCTATTTTCCTTTTCTGGGTGGAAGGAATTTGTGATTGTCTGGAAGCATGGAGTAATCATGGCAGTGTTTTCCCCCTTTCCCTCCCACCAGTTCTTACAACCCTGGAAGGGATCCTTGACAGAGCCATAGCAGGACTGGAGCAGGATCAGCCCGAGCGCAGAGTAAGCTGCTTGAAAGAATCTGGGAGGGGGGGGGTGCTTCCCTCACACGGGGCAACATTCTAGCTTGGCATTTGGCTGTGTTAATTGCAGATAGGCTTCCTGCCATCTGGGGGGGAAAAAAACTGGTGGCTGTTCTAGCTAGATCTCTTGTTCATTAATAAATTATTGGTGTTTGAAGCCCCCCTCGGGAAGTGAAACAGGACAGAATTGTCATCTGCCTGTTTTCACATGGCTGGCTGCAATTCTGATAGCTTCACCTGGGAGGAATTCCAAGGAGTTTTGTGGCACCCTTAAATATTTCACAGTGAAAGTGCTTGTGTGCCAGGGCTTGCCTTGTCTTAATTTGGTGGGTATAGCATGTAGTCAGCCCACAAAATGAACAAGCCCTGGAGGTTTTGACTGGTGGCTTAGGGTTCTTACTGTAGAGTTGCCTTTCTAGAGGAACAGTCCCAGCTTGGACTCTAGAAGCTCCCGTGTCTTTGTGTGCTGCTTCCACTGGGAAATCAAGTCAGTGGTTTCTATTTTTGGGCCATAGAAAATGGACACTGAAGCGGCAAGAAAGATTGATGAATTCATCTCTAAGTTGAAAGGCCTGAAGGAAGTGGAGTCAACTTTCACTTTTGTAAGTTACTGTGGGGTGCTGAGAGGAGCTTCTGCCTGCAGGCATTGTTAATCCTGGCAAAAGAGTGATTTTGGTGGCACCTCTTTCTCCCTCCAGATTCTCGATGATCCTTCAGGAAACAGCTTTGTGGAGAACCCTCACGCCCCACAGAAGGATGACGCTCTAGAGGTCACCCATTACAGGAGGACAGCCCAGCAAGCAGCTCTGCTTGGAATAGAGGTAACGGAGAGGGCTTGGAAAGGTCTTGCGTGAGTGCAGCCCCACGCTGTTCCTGTGGCCTCTGAACTCTGTTGCAAGCCCTGACAGCCTGCCTGCTGAACCCTTGTGGACCCCTCTGTTTCCCCCCCCCCCCCAGGAAGAGGGCTTGGAGGAGGATTCTGCTGATTCTGCAGATGATCTGAGGAATGAGGTGAGCGGGTGATGAAGGGGCTGGCAGTTGGGTGGCTGAGTCCCCCTTTGGACCGGCGCCTGTCTGGTCAGGAGCGGAGATGTCGCAGTGTGGCTTCTCTCCTACCAGGTACTGCAGTTCAGCACCAACTGTCCTGAATGCAACGCTCCCGCCAGCACAAACATGAAGCTGGTGCGTATCCTTTGAGACGTTGCTTGCCTGCATGCAGTAGTCCTGTGACGGGGCCCCTGGTGTGGGCACTGGCTCCTGGAGGGCAGAAGGAGCTGACCGGGCTCCTCCTCTCCTGCCAAGCAAGGTGTAGAGCAAGAGGGCTGGGGAATGAGGCTGCTGGGTCTGCGCGGTGGAGTTTTTCTTTACTGCTTCTCCTCAGAGATTCCCCATTTCAAGGAAGTCATCATCATGGCTACAAACTGTGATGCCTGTGGGCACAGAACAAACGAGGTCAGTCTTTTCGTTCTGGAAGGCGGGTCACCAAGGGCTCTACTCCCTGTTACTGCTTGACACCCCCTCCCCCTCTTTATTGCCTTAGGTGAAATCCGGGGGAGGTATTGAGCCTTTGGGTACCAAGATAACCCTTCATGTGGCGAGCCCTGCAGACATGACAAGGGATGTCCTGAAGGTGACTCTCTTTTCCATCAGTTTATTTATTTATGAGACTTATATACCGCTTTAAGTGCAAGCACTCTCTAAGCGGTGTACACCAGTAAGCAATGTATATATATATATATTTACATTGCCCCCAACAATCTGGGTCCTCATTTTACCTACCCTGGAAGGATGGAAGGCTGAGTCAACCTTGAGCCGGTGAGATATGAACCGCTGACCTGCTGAACACAGTCAGCTAAATGTTCTCTTTTTTTGCAGTCAGAAACTTGCATGATACAGATCCCAGAGTTGGAGTTTGAGTTAGGAATAGGAGGTCTGGGAGGAAAATTCACCACTCTTGAAGGGTTGCTGAAGGACATCCAGGCTCTGGTGAGTGAGCGATAACTGGAGGCCTATCCCATATTACATTTCTTAAAAGGAAGGAACAGGAGATCAGCTGAAACAGCAGTGAGCGCGGAAGCCTTGACCTTGGGCTGAGCTGCTCCTGCCTCTTGACTTGTGGCATCTGGGCAGAAGGCAGAGAGCTGACAGCCGGGTCTCCAAGGGTGATTTTGGGAAGCCTGGCTTGTTGATCAGAGAGGGGATGCCTTAGGGTGGTCTGGGGGAGTGGGACCTGAAGGCGTTCTCCCCGCATTGGGCCTAACCCTGAGCTGCGTCTCCCGCAGGTGGAGAAGAACCCTTTCACTCTGGGGGACGGGTCTTGCCCCGAGAAATCAGACAAGCTGCACGCCTTTGGGAGGAAGCTCCAGCAGGTAGGCCGTCTTTGCCCCCCATGAGCAGCCTCAGGTGCAGGTCCACTGCAGGAGGGATGGTGAGCCTTGCGTTGGGCGGGTGATGTTTTCCCTTTTCTTTTTCTGCCAGATTGTAGATGGGCAGATGAAGGTACATCTTGTTCTGGATGATCCTGCAGGAAACAGCTACCTTCAGGTAATGCAAATCAATGCAAATAACATGGGAGGAAGAGGGAAAGGACCATCAGTTTTAGGAGAGTTATTGGGTAACTCTTTTGTGGGCAACTGTTTGTTATTGAAACTGTTTTGTGTTTCCTGTAATGGCTCAATGAAGGGCAAACATACCGTATGTTTATACCTGGCTGTGGGGTTTCCAAGCATCCTCTGCTGTGGAATGTCCCTGTGGGCAAGACGCAGGAGGCTGTAAAGTCTACCCTCTCTGGCCTCCGTTGTTGAACTGCCGGGTTGTGAGGGTCACCTTTATTGTTCTGGCATTTTGGGATATGCCAGCAGGGCAGTTTGGCTAATGTGTTGGGGAAGGCTGACCTTGGTGTTTCCAGGGAAGATGCATGAGGGGGGGTGTTGTGCATATTTTTGATAATGGTGTAGATGATTCTTAGCACTTTTCATTTTGGCTTTTTATAAACCCAATCCTGTTCCTAAAAGGAATCCTACTGGATTTGGACAAAAGATTGCAAACCCCAGGGATTTATTGTACACAGCCTGCTGCCTCATAGTCTTGTCTGATGCAGCCCCTTTGCACTTCCAGAATCTCTATGCTCCTGAAGAAGACCCGGAGTTGCGTGTGGAACGATACGAGCGGCGCTTCGAACAGAATGAGGAGCTGGGCCTGAATGACATGAGAACAGAGGGCTACCAGGCAGATCTGTCTTCCCCTCAGTAGCCAAGTTGACATGCAAGGCACCGTGTGGAAAGTACTAGACTGTTGGGTTTCAGGCTTTTGTTTAGCAAGAAATAGCTTGTTGTCAGGACTGACTCTGCCCCACACATAGAAGTCAGGCTAGCTGGACTCTATTAAAACTGAAGCTGGGAAGTCGGTATCCTTGTCTTAAAGTGAAGCTGAAGGGTGACTTCTGGCTTCCTGCTACTTTCCTGGGGAAATCTTGAGCCCAAGGGGGGCAATTACACGACCCTTCTATTTCAGAGTTTGCAAGCTGCCCTTGTACTATCAATGCTGATAATTTCCTACAACATAATTTCCTACAACTCTCCTGGGCCCTGCTGGTGTGAGTGATGGATTCAGGGGTTATAGCAACTGGGAGCCCATTAACACAAGAGGTTGGCAATGTCCTGGCTTGGCCTTCTTGCAGAGATTCTGGGCCCTTAACAAAGTGAAAACTGGAATAATAAAAACTATACCTAACCACGAAAAGCAACAGATTAATAAGCAAAAGCTCTCCGATGCCAATCTGTAATCCCTCAGAACCCAAGGCCCTGGAACAATAGACGGAGAGCGTACCCCCATAGCGAATCATCCTGCAGGTTGCCCTTCCCGAGCAACTTAGAGGATGTGGGTGAACCCCAAAGCTGACTCTGGTTCATGGCATAGATGAAAGGAGCAGCTCCACCTATTTCAAGCAAAGCAACACGTTTGGATCGCTAAAACGGTTTGGAGTTCGGTGGTCAACATGGTGGGAGGGCTATTGCTTCCTGGGGCTGTGCTGCAGGTCTGGCTTGTATTCTTTGCTCCCTGTTCAAGAAGGCGAGGTGCCATAAAGGTGGTAGTAGCTTCAAAGCAGGGAAATTGGAACTGGCCCCTCTGGGGCAGAGATGGCTGAGGAAGCAGGGCCTGGGGAGGGGCGGTCAGACTTTGGGCGGTGGGGGAGCTGCTTTTGAGGTTCTGCTGGCATCTTGAGAGGCAGACTGAGCTCTCTTGCAGATGGCATCTTGCCAACTCACTGGCAGCAACAGTCATAATTAAGCCTGCCGGCCACTCCGGGTGAGCAACTCGCAACAGTCAAATTAACATCCTCCTCCCCGGATGCGGAGGGCGTCGATGGCAGCCACGGGCGCCGCCAGAGGGCGACCTTGTGCGCCGGAGATGGACACGGGCCGTTTCCTCCGAGGCTTCGCTCGACGGTTGTCCTGCTTCCGGGTCTCGAAGAGAAGATGGCGGCGGCCTCCAGTCTCTCAAAGGCCGAATACTTGCGGCGGCGCTACCTGGAGGGCGGCGATGCCGAGGTGGGCAAGAAGCGGCGGCGGAAGAAGAAGGCGGCGGGCCGGTGAGTGATTTCGGCCTTGAGGACCTCCGGTCTTCCCGGGCGCCCCTGGGCCAGCCGCTGCTTCGCGTCCCGCGAGGCCGGCGGGCTTCTCCCCGCGCCTGGGGTCTTGGTGGGGCGCGTGGGCGCCGCGAAGAGGCGAGAAGCCCGGGGGGGGGGTCGGTCTCCCTTGGCCGCCTCCCTCAAGGGGCAGCTGGGGCCGTCTGGAGGCAGGCTCCGGCGGGAGTCCCTTTGGTTGAACTGCGGGGATCCAGCCGGGGCGAAGGCGGGCCGGCCTGGGCCTTCTCCTCCCGCGAGGGTTCCTGCTTGCGAGGGCAGCGCGCTTAGGAACGAGGCTGAGCCGGTGGTGAAGGCGCTCTTTCTCCCGCCCGCAGGATGCGCATCGTGGATGACGACGACGTGAGCTGGAAGAGCCGGCCTGCCGAGGAGGGGGAGGCCGAGGAGGAGGAGGGGGACGAGGGTGACCGGCCAGTGGTGAGTAGGAGGCGGCCGGAGCCTCGCCCGTTGTCTGCAGTGCGAGTGGCTACAACTCTGGTTTATGTAGCCCGGTCAAATGTCGAGCCAAAGCTATCAGACAAGCACCCCCCATTGAATGGAAACGGTAACCGGTTGTTGCAGGATCCAGTCTGGCTCGGTCACCGGGACCAGAGATTTTGCCTTCCGATCTTTTGGACTCCTGCTGGGGCCGATCCTCAGGGAATTGTTTAACCGGTTGTTTGGTAGGAGGGCTTTTAGCTGTGCAGAAAAACAGGCCTGTCTTATCTGTTGTTTCCAGGTGGCTGAATTTATCGATGAACGGCCAGATGAAGTTAAATGGATGGAAGCTTTCCGAGCAAGTAACAAATGGAAGTTATTAGGAGGTTAGCAGTTTGGTGCTTCTCTGAGAGAATGGTTTAATTGTGCGTGAGATACTTGAGCTGGATTGACTGCATGTACCCTCTACCTAATTCAGGCTTTGAGCAAAAAGGACTCAGGTTATACTGGCTGAAAAGACGCTTTAAAATGTGAAAGCTGGAACGGTTTGGAAAAAGAATCGTGGAACAGAATAAGCACTATTGAATGTGTAGTTCTTTTATATCTGAAGAAAGAAAATTATGTGCTTGTAGAATTAATTTGCCGTGCCTAGCCTCGTATGGGGTATTTAACACAATCTCTTGTTTGCTTCTCTGATAAGAAGATGCGGTTTGTTGAAAATGGGATTTTTTCTCTGTAGGATATTTAGAAGGTCCAAAAGTGGGAAGGTAGGTATTGTCGAAGTTCCACATTTTACTTTTCATTGAAAAATCATTTTTTAAAAAAATGAAATGTCTTTTTATCCTGGAAATCAACTTTCTTCAGAAACAAATTTGGTGCCCTCCAGATCTCCAGGGCTTTGCTTGTTCTTTAGGAATTCTGTAGGTTGTAATTTCCACATTTTGGGAAACAGCCAGATGGAGAGAGACGATTGTGGATCTTTCAGATGCCTTGCATATTAAAAATGTTTTATGTTTGTTTTTAAAGATCAGAATGAAGAGCCACAGTTATTTGGACATTCTATGACAACCACATCAATAAGCAGGTGAGATGTGGGAATGTTAGCTGAGTAGCTAACAGTCTATTCTTTCTGGCTGTGTCTGTTGGTTGTATTAATAAAGGAGAATATTTGTAGCTCAGGGTTGACATGTTTCTATTTCTTCAAGTGTTTTACAATATTTGGGGTAAAGCTTTACCACATCAATTGCATTTACTTCTGATTGGAGGCCTTTTATTTAGTGCAGAAGCTGTTATTTCAGACAGTTTGTGGGGGGAATAAGTGGGAGCGGCACTTTTAAAAGACACAGCTGCTGGACTTCCACACTATCCAATTCATTGATTTAGTGAAGTTTCCAAAACAAAAATCCAAAATCCGCTGGGAATGAGCTTCCTGTTTCCTATGCTTTATTTATTTTAAATTCATTTAATATTATTTGTAGTTGTTTTCAGGATTTCTTTGGAAGATGTTTAGGGGATGTCATGCAGCATTCAGGCAGAGGTTGGACTGCCTTCTATTAAGAATGCTTTAATTTGGATGTCTGCATTGGGCATGTTTTGAGTTCTCGGACCTCAGTGGCCCCTTCCACTTTTAATTTTGTGGTTCTTGGGATTTTGGCTTAGGAGGAAAAACTTGTGTTGCTTGACGTTATATGCTACTGCCAGATTGCTGAATAAGCCAGTGAGTTCTTGGATCAGGAGAATTTTTCCTAAGATTCTTGTTCAGTTCCCAGGCAAGGACCAAATATATATATAAAACTGTATCTTGCAACACAATATGAATTTGATGTTGAATTTGATAACAGCAGCAAGGTTATTGGTAGGGCAATATTGGAAGAAGGATTGCTTGCCTACTATAGAAGAATGGACACTTAAAGTCTCAGACTTAGCAGAAATGGCTAAGATTTCTGCTTATTTGAAGGATCATTCACAAGAAAGATACATTTCGGTTTGGAGGATAGATTGTATTCAGAATAAATATGGGACTAAAAAGTTCCACTTAGTTTATGAGCAAATCTTAGAGTATTATTAATAGTTTATTATAGCGGAATATTATTATTATTTTTAGTATTAGTATTGTTTAACAATTTGGATATTGTATTGTTTAATAATTAGTTTAATAATTAGGATATTATGTTTGTTTATGTTTTTATTATTATTATGTTTACTTTTAATTTGTTTATATTTATGCTAAAGGGGAGTTAAAGCGCATTATGCACTTGGTTATTGATATAGTTGGTTAATGTTAGTTAGATTATTATAATTGTATTCAGCTCTGGGAAGTGGGGGAGAGAGAGGGGGGGTTTAAGGTGGGTTGGTTTTGGGGTTTATATTGTAACTTTTATAAAACTCTTCAATAAAAAAAAAAGAAAGTTGGTATATTTGTAAGAAACTTAGATGGTTGTTTCTGTTATTTCACTCAGTTCAGAAACCTCCAGAACAAACGAAAAAAAGCATTTGTCGGACCAGTCCCCACCTAGGAGGGCCCATCACGCCCAGCCTGATCTGTCCCCTCTAAGAGTGCCTTCAGCAAGGGGCACAAATCGTGTCAAAGGCTCCAGTGGAAGCCAACGTGAATTGTTCTCAGATGAGCGCTCTGCTGGCCAGAAGTATAAGGTGGTGGCGGCTGCTGCTGCTGAGGTGTTGTTGCCTTGCAAGAAAGCATCTTGTGCTGAGGGAGATTTGCTGCTGCCGGCCAGCAGTGAGTAACCCTGTGCCAAAGTACCTCACATAGTTTGGGGTGTGAGATGTCCGAACTCCTCAATGAAACCTTGGCCACCATCGGCCATCCTTGGTGATGCATTCTGAAAATGTCTGTTTTCCTTCATGTTTTTCCAGGCAACTTGCAGTCTGCAGCATTGCCAAGGAAGTGGCAAAGACATGATTCTGAATCCAGTTCTGACTCTTCTCCAACGAGGAGAGCTCAAGCCACCTCAGATTCAGACCTTTCGCCACCACGGGCCACTGGCCGACCAGGCACACGACGACCAAATTATCCTTCCAATCTCTCCCCTCCTAGAAGGAATCGGCACAAATCGTCAGATTCGGACTTATCCCCTCCCCGAAGAGGAGCAGAAGCAAAAAAGAAAGGCCGCAAGTCCAGGAGCCCCTCGACTGTCCTGCCATGTCATCAGGCCTTGGAGTCCAATGGGAGCAGCCAGAGGGTGAGGCTTTGGCTTCCAGCCCTTGAGACGTGCTGCGGTGCCCAGTTGGGGGGGGGGGGAGAAAGCCTTGCTCCAGCTGAGGCTGCCAAGAGGCAATAGGCTGTTCCATGAATGAATGATTTATGGGACGTGCCTCTTACACTAATTCCGGCTTGTGTGTTCCTCAGATGCTGTCAGGGGGCAAAGCTGGCTTGGTATCAGCTGATCTGCTGAGAAGGGAGAAGCAGGAATTTAAGAAGCTGGCTGGCAGCAGCAGCAATAGCAGACATCTGGAGGGTAAAAATCTTTTCTACAGATCCTGAAATTGTGTGGCATATCCATAGTGCAGGCCAGGCTTCTGCCCAGCTTCTTCCAGGCAGAATCTGGTCCAGATGGCCAGTTTGTTGGATGTTCAGGGCAGTAGGTGGACTGACTTTAGATACTTTCGCATTGTGTTCCCATTATGAAATCCTGCTGCTCCTTTCTTGGGATTCTGTGGGGGATCAAGTGCTGCCAGTCAAATCTGTTTCTATCCCTCTTCTCTTTTCCCACTGTGGTTTTGCTGTTGCTGCAAGAATCTGTGGTGGAAGAAAATAAGGGACAGACACCTCCACCTGGAAGCTTCCTTAACTGTGTGGTTGCTTTTGAATGTTCTGCTATATCTGTTTCCCCTTCAGATGAATCTCGGCACGCAAAGACGATTTTCCGGGATGAGATGGGCCGTAAGAGGGACCTGAAGCAGGAGCGGCTAGAGCAGCACAAGAGAGCCGAAGAGACGTCTGAGCGAGATGAGCAGTACGCTAAGTGGGGGAGAGGGTGAGTTTCTGCCCTCCAGCATGGGGGCCCTGGGAAAAAGGCCTTAAGGGCCTTCCGGCCAGTGTTGGCTTCCGCCAGGGTAGCAGGTCGTAGAATCTCAAGGTGAGCTTTTTGCAAGGACCTGCCACTTAACTGTCCTTTGGTGGAGGGCCTGGACGGGAACTTGAGGCTTCCTGTATGCTGGTGTGCTCTCTTACTAAGCTGTGGCCCACAACTGTGTTGTGCAGCGGTTTTGAGAGGGGTGACGTTCTATGTCTTCTATCGCCTCCTGATGTGTAGCCTGTGTCTTTTCCAGCCTGGCACAGAGCAGACAGCAGCAGCAAAAGGTGGAGGATGCAGTGAAGGAAATGCAGAAGCCGCTGGCGAGGTACATTGATGACGAGGACTTGGATCAGATGCTGCGGGAGCAGGAACGAGAAGGAGACCCGATGGCCGACTTCATGAGGAAGAAGAAGGCCAAGGAGAGGCCAGGTAGCAAAGGTCAGCACTCGCAGCCTCAGTCTGGCAACTGAGGGGGGGGGGAATTTGGAGGAGGGAAAACTATCAAAGGGAGCAGCGAGCGAAGAAATAGTGACTGAAAGGTTTTCAGGAAGAAGGTCTGGGTGTAGCAGTGGAAAATCACATCAATTTGTTGCATTCCGCTTTTAAGGGAACAGGTGGCAGACGTCTAAAAGAGGTGGATGCAGACAAAGACATTTGTTAATTTAATCACATTTTTTGCTCCCTGGTTGCTTTTTCTAGCTTGCCGCAGTGATGTCTGCCTCTTGCGTACTCTGCAAGTCACTGTTTCTTTAGAGGCATCTAATATTATTAGTAAACCATCTGTAATACTTCTCTGTATCTTGGGTCTGTGCTAAAATGGCTTTCTTTAAGGGGGGGGGGGAAGAATGAGCTTCCATTGTTTGTTTCCTCCATTTTCCTCCAGAAAAGCCAAAGTATAATGGGCCAGCACCCCCACTGAACAGGTTTAACATCTGGCCAGGCTATCGCTGGGACGGAGTAGATAGGTAAGTCGCTCTTTCTGGGAGTAGCCAAAACGGGGACCACTCAGTTCTGTGTCCCAAAGACCAGTAGGAAGGATCCAGGCCTCTGCTGGCAATGTTGACTTATGGCTACAGGTTTTTTTTCTTAAGGTAGAGCCTTGCTTTAACAATCCTAACCCTGGAAGCACTGGCTGGGTATGTTGCTGTACATAAACAGGGAGCAAATCCTTCACTCGCTAGCACTGATGATGTTATCTAGTTGGGCAATACAATGTCTGCACACAAACCACCAAGGACTCCACAACACAGCCTCACATTCCTTTGATCTTTCCTCCAGGAACCTAAGAGGCAGTAGGTCCTCTGTGCCGTTCTAGGAGGGCGCTTCTAGGTGGGAGTTGCCTTCCCTCCCCTCTATTAATTTGGCACCTGGAAGGTGCTGATGCTGTCATACAAGCGATCTAGTTTTTCCCCCAAAACTCTGCATTACCCAGAGTTGATAATGCTACCATCTAGCAGTGTTGCCTTTTGCTTCTGCAGGTCCAATGGCTTTGAGAAGAAACGCTTTGCGAGAATAGCAAGTAAAAAAGCGACACAGGAACTCGCATACAAATGGAGCGTGGAGGACATGTGAGCACCTGGGCCAAACAGGGACAAAGATTTTTAAAGGCTCCTGCAGAAGCAAGGATACTTCCTACCCACCAGAGTTCACCACCTGGAATCCGCAGGAGAACCCCTGTACCCAGTGCAGCTTAATAGGAGCCCTGGAACGCAGAGGGTGTTTGAAGGAGCCCTATGAGCTGTTGGAAGGGAGACTCTGGAAGCTTGGTCCAGCCGAAAGGCAGAAGTCGCAGGGCGGCTGGTCACTGCCCCTTGTCCCAGTTGCCAGGTATTTTGGGGAGGGAGAGGTACAGAGAATATACGGCTCTTGTCCTCAGTGCTCTGGGTCTCCCTGGATATGTTGCTTCCACTGAATAGTTCGATTGTGTGGCTTTCCTAGTGTGAAGCATCACCTTTCGGTCTCTTGGGAACGTGTAACAGGGCATCCTTGGAGCAGGGAATCATTGAGTTCTCCTTAAAGGACTTGCTGGAATGATGAAATTTGGCTGTTCTGGGGATCCCTGCAAGCTACAGAGGAGCGCCAGGGCGTTTATAGAGAAAGCAGGCTCTGCAGAGGTGCAGGGCTCTTCACAGATTTTCAGTACTTGCTGCAGTTTAAGTGTACAGTTTGTAAATAACAGGTTTCTTTTTTCCTAATTCTGTGCCTGTGTTTGTTCTCTTGTTACTACTGTGTCGGTAGCAGGAAATGAAGGAAGTGGGTTCTGTTGACGTGTGTTTAGGACACATCTTCCTTTCTATGTGAATGGAAGCAGCTGTCAGACCCCCAAACCCCTCACCTGTTCTCTTTTGTCTTCTATTATTTTGGGGCCTGCCATTCTGTTGGGGGAGCTTTTCTTTGTTTGCAGATGAACAAACTTGAGAGAATGTCTAGTCAACATTTGACATGTTACTGTTGGCCTGTTCTTGTTGCTGTGTGAGGGGCTTTTTCTGGGCAGCTGTTGTTGGATGAAGTTTGCCACTGTCAGGCAGGGAGTGGACTGGGTCTGCAGGAGAGCTGCTGTGTTCTAAACTGCTTTGGGGGCCTGTGCTATGTTGAAATTTTAGCTGCCTCTCTTTCAGTTCTGATTCGAACCTCTTTCCCTCAGCTGCTTCCTGCAGTTGGTTGTACAGTACTTTGATCTCAGCCCCCTTCTCCTTTTAACAAGCAGGACAACAGGCTGTAGAAGAGGTCGAGCATCGGTATTGGCAGAAACGTGTCCTCAGTATGGACTGCAACCCTCAGCTAGCAGGAGACGGTGGCCGACCCAGGAGGGCCATCTGTCTGGCACAGAGATAACAGAGGAAGGGGCAGGAGCGGAGGAGAAGGCCAGGAGTGGGGCGGGGGCTACTGGATGGGGTGCAGGGAGGTGGGGGGATGACTTGAAGGGAATCAAGAACTGCTCTGCAACTCACCCAGCATTGCAGAGACCCTCTGGAAAGCTTGGGGTCTCCATACGGGGTGGAGAGGAAGGTGGCAGAAGCCTGGAGCTGGCTGGATTCCCCTGAGTGGAAAGGCCCGTCCTTTGGACAGCACGCAGAGGAGGGAATGCTGGTCGTGAAGGTCCCTTCCTTGTCCTGCTGGGTGGAATTGCTCCAGGGGAACCAGATGGCAGATTGGCCCAAAGCATTCTGGAACTGCTGCTTCTGTTTTCTTCTTGGCTGCTAAAACTTCTCACTTCGATCTTCCTTCCTTCCTTCCTTCCTCTCCCTCTCTCTCTCTCTCTCTCTCTCTCTCCCTCCCTCCCTCCTTCCCTCTCCCTTCCTTCCTTCCTTCCTTCTTTTCTTCCTTCCTTCCTTCCTCTCTCTCTCTCTCCCTCCCTCCCTCCTTCCCTCTTCCTTCCTTCCTTCCTTCCTTCCTTCCTTCCTTCTTTTCTTCCTTCCTTCCTTCCTTCCTCTCTCTCTCTCTCCCTCCCTCCCTCCCTCCTTCCCTCTCCCTTCCTTCCTTCCTTCCTTCTTTTCTTCCTTCCTTCCTTCCTCTCTCTCTCTCTCCCTCCCTCCCTCCCTCCCTCCTTCCCTCTTCCTTCCTTCCTTCCTTCCTTCCTTCCTTCCTTCCTTCCTTCCTTCCTTCCTTCCTTCCTTCCTTCCTTCCTTCCTTCCTTTCTTTCTTTCTTTCTTTCTTTCTTTCTTTCTTTCTTTCCCGATGTTGCCATGCTGGCCTTGGGCTGCATTATGCTGCAGGGAGGGGCTGTGAGCCTGAGAGTTGCTGTTTGACTCTGCCTGCAGCTTTATGTCCAGGGCTGAGGTGAGGTGGGAATCAATTTGGGGCATTTGCGGGCACCAGAAAGGCGCTACAGCAGCAGCCTTGTTCCTGAGTTTATGGGGCAAGGGAGAGAATTTTTTAGGTGAAAGGATGCTCATCACCATTCTGCTTTTTAATAATAATAATAATTAATAATAATAATAATAATAATAATAATAATAATAATAATAATAATAATAATAAGAAGTTGGAAGGGACCTTGGAGATCATCTAGTCCAACCCCCTGCTCAGGCAGGAAACCCTATACCATTTTGGACAAATGGCTGTCCAGTTTCTTCTTAAAAACTTCCAGTGTTGGAGCATTCACCGCTTCTGGAGCCAGGTTGTTCCACTGGTTAATTCTTCTAACTGTCAGGAAGTTTCTCCTTAGTTCTAGGTTGCTTCTCTCCTTGCTTAGTTTCCATCTGTTGCTTCTTGTCCTGCCTTCAGGTGCTTTGGAGAATAGCTTGATCCCCTCTTCTTTGGGGCAGCCCCTGAGATATCGGAAGGCTGCTATCATGTCCCCCCTCGTCCTTCTCTTCATTAAACTAGACGTACTCAATTCCAGCAGCCGTTCCTTATGTGCTTTAGCCTCCAATCCCCTAATCATCTTTGTTTCTCTTCTCTGTACTCTTTCTTTTGAGATGTGCCTTTGTAGCATGCGAAACAACAGAGGAACACTGCACAGGGATTGTGTTGTATGTGCACATCCTTGCATGTGGGCACGTACTCGGGAGTGGCAATATTCCTGTTTAAAAGAGTGTTTTCCCAAAGAGCCTGGAAGGGGGGGGGCTTTGTCCCTGTGCCCCATGACTATGCATTTGGGGGGTGGTCTCCCATCGATGTCTGTTGGGAGTGTGGTGGGAGCTCCAGAGCAAGAGGAGAGCCAGCTGTCTCTTCAGAAGGTCCTTGGCTGGGTGGTGGCATGTCTCCTGCTGCTGCTGCTGCTGCTGCTGAGACAACGATATCCATTGGAGGAATGGCCCAGTAACATGGGTCAACTTGGATTATCTGTAGCCACAGGAAAGGGGAGATGTGGAGACCCTATTTAAGCTTCTGTCATGGCCAACCCGAGCAAGCTAATCTTTAGGCAAATAAGGCAGATGGGAAAATGGGTAATAATTGGACAGCTTACACATTATTGTAAACCTTCTTTGTGTATGATTTGTCTGCAGAGCACGGTGCGGGTGGGGTCTGGTGCAGCTGGCTTTGCTGTCCAGCTTGCCTTGTTAGCATGGTTTAATTAGGGATTGGAGAAAAAGTGGAAGCAGCGAGGCAGGAAGGCCTTGGGCCTACTTGCAGGAAGGACCTGGAAATTGAAAGGAAGGGCTGGCCCACACTGGCCAAGCCCTTCCAAAGAAAGTGGAACGCTGCAGGGGGTGTCCTTTGCCCTCCCAGTTGAAACCCTGGAGAATGTGGGGAGGAGGGAAGGGGGATGTTTAGCACTGTGGCTGGTGGCAGCTGCTCTGGCTTTCTTCCAGGGCAGCGAGAGGGGCTGCGCTGCCTCCTCATTGCCTGGGCCTGGGCTGCCCTCCTGCAGGGTCAGCTGCTTCTGTGAAGGGAGATACCTGGCTTGGCTGTTGAGCTGTTAATTACCCCCCTTCCATTGTTTTATATTTTTGACAGGAAGCCAGACGATGATGATGCTAATAATAAGTTTAAACTGGGTAATAAGCTTACGTGGTACATTATGCATGTCGAGGACAAGCAATTAAGCCTGGCCTTGCACATAATAATTAGATTTTTCTTGATGAGCTCATTGGTAATGTGTTAAGATTAAGGGCTTAGCTTTCAGTGTGCACAGTAGCCCCCCATTTTCTTCACCCCCATTCAGCAGAAACAGGCTGGACAGGTAGAGCAAGAGGTAGATGCAGGGTTGGACCAGAGTTTCTTGGCCGTGACCAGCTCTCCTCCTGGGTAGGAAGATAATTGGAGGGATTTGCTACTCCCCTGCTTTGCACCAGGCATTGGAGCCCCCGCCTGGAAGGGAAAAGGTGTAGCATTTGGAAGTCATCTTTAAAGAAAAAGCTGGGGGTGAGCTATAATTCCCAGCCACCCACGTGGCCTGGGCATCCTGGGAACTGGAGTCAGGGCACCTCTGGAGGACACCTGGGCAAGGGAGGCAGATGCTCATGTTGTTCTGATATGGGCCAGCGTCTGTGGCGTGCCCTGAGCCCTCCTGCATTGCTCTGCATGGGTGCCCAGGTTGCCCATGGTCACGAGGACTGGGGTTGCCCTGGAGGAGGGGAATATGCTGGTTACCTGGGGCCTCTTACTGGCCTTTGCACTAAATCTGTGGTGCAGGCGCCCAGCTCCACTGCCCTGTCCTGTTTGGCAGTGTCTCCTCTCCCATTTCTGTTTTTGGGGTGGCCAAAGGCACTGCTCAGGGAAAGCTACCAGCTGGGGCTTCAATTAACCACTGTGGTGCTTTTCTGTTCTTTAATGAATGTATCTTGTTTCAACTCCAGAGGTGTAGAATTTTAAAGCACAGAGTCACAAAGGAAAAAAATACTAAAATCCCAGCGGTACAACATCAGGCTTTAAAAATGCTATGAATCTTTTTGGTTTATACTTTGCATAATTTAGTTATGGAAGTTGTTTGCCATTTCTATTTAGAAATTTGGATTAAATTGGCAGTGGACAGATTCAAATCAAGCCACTGATGACCATATACCCTTTCCGTGAAAAGGTGAAGTGCCCCAAGGAAATGGGATAAAACACCCTATAAAGACAAAAAACACCCTATAAAGACAAAAAACACCCCCTAAAGACAAAAAAAACCCTATAAAGACAAAAAACACCCTATAAAGACAAAAAACACCCCCTAAACCCGAAAAACCGACCTTTCGTATAAAATGCAGCTCCGAGTTTGGAGCAGGGGAAGGGTCTCCCTTTACAGAGGAGACCACCCTCTTTCTGAGCTATTGGGTAAGTATTAAGGCTGCCTTTTCTACTGTGCCAAGGCTGGTTAGGAAGCCTGGCAGGAAGGACGGAGAGAAAGAACGAAGCCTCCTTTGGACAGAAGGAAGAGATCTTAGCCAGCACTTAGTGACCAGCTCAGTTGTGGTCCCAGAAGGCTGAAGTTCATGGAACAGCCATTGGGTGGCAGCAAGCCTCAGTCCTGGGCCCAAGTTCACCTTTTAAGTTCCTCCAGGTGTTCCCTGCTGACTTCCCTCCAGCATGAGAAGGCCTCTGCTTTATCTAGGGTTACAGAACCCTTTTCCTCCTGCAAGATTGATTTTATTGTTATAAAGGGAAATCTGGTTTCTACTAAGGGATTTCTCTGTGGAAAACTTCCAGTTAGGAGAAAAGCTTGCTTATACTGAGCCCCAATGGCTGCCTTTTGCTGACCACTTGGAAAATAATTCCATCTTCTCCCTTTTTCCTTCCACCGGTTCCCTCTCTCTTTTCCAGCTGC